TTGTTCGCCCTGCAGCGTCAAGCTGTAGCCCAGCGACATATCACAGTAATGCTTCCATGTAGTGTACAAGGGCGGGTGCGGCGGTGGGGCGGTGCCGTCAAACCAGATCCAGCTCCCCAGGTAACACATTTCAATGTCAAGGTCATACCGAAAGGCCTCACAGAAACTGTCTTGGGCGAGACACTCCAAGGCGCACCTGGAAGTAGATTCTATACCTGTGACGCCGCTCACCTGAACCATGCTAATGGAGGTGTTCTGGACATTGTTGAAGAGTTTAAAGCTGAATTGGGCGTCCACCTGGTGTCTAGCTACCAACACAAGACAGGCGACTAACGTAGTGAACACCAACATTGTTGAGTGGCAGAAACTGTACGATTGTGATGCTTGGAACAGGAAGGAGGTGTCTGTAGCAAGATACTGAAAGTATTATTTTATAAAAAGTTTTATTAGGTAAAGACACAATAAGCACATACCGTTCGTTTAAACATTTATGTAAACTATCTCCAAAGTTGGCGTAAGTAGCATTTCATAAACAAAAACTTACATACTTTAAAATCACTTAGTCCAGATTAAGTCAGTTTTGCAGAAATTGTCCAGCATATCAATGAAGCATAGTAAACTTTTATGTTAAATTTTGCTTTGAACATTTATTGACCAGAAGAAATTACTAATAACAAAGAGATCGAAAAGCTATAATGCTACACGTGACAACTTCATCAGACATATTACTAATGCTAAAAGCCAAGTAGAAGTGAACATTCTCAGTCGAGTCACCCCTATTAGCCTGTGGAATAACAATGTATATTATTTTTATAGCACAAGCAGCGGTCGAAGTTGATATAAAAACTTATTTCACCCATTAAATAAGCTTGAAGCCATTGAATCGAGATGCGAATCTAGGCTTTGCTGAATCATTAATGAAATCTTTTCTTTCATTCTCTGTTCTAGTGGACAAAAGCTCTTCTACAGACCGTAACATGCTCAAATCGATAACCATAGCATACCAATGAACAAAAAATCGTAAGTAAAAGGCTTTATCTTCTGATCTAACAAAGGGTCTTGAATGGAATCTATTATTCAATGCCATTAAAATTCACATACCAAGAATTTTAAGATACGCATGCGCAGATAAACTTGTCACTGGTACTTGAAAGAAATCATAGATGTATGTGAAAACAAAAGTTACAAGATGACGATCATGCACTCCCCATGGGCATACGACAAATGCAGGCAAGATACTATCCCGTAGACCGTAAGATCGAAGGCCGTTAGCCCGAAGGTCGTTTGCCCGAAGGCCGTTTGCCCGAAGGCCGTTTACCGTCAAGGCCGTTTGCCCGATTGGACGTTTCCTGAATGTGACTAATGCCCGACTGTAAAGACGACTCGTCTAGTAAACACAAAATGTCTTTTTATTACTATTTTGATGAATCGTTAACATCAGACTACTAGGAGAGATGGAAATTGAAGTAGTTTCCGAAAAAAAAAGAAGATGGCGCTGGATGGGGCACGTCCTAAAAATAAATCCAGATGATATCGCAGGAATGGCGCTAAACTGGACGCCTGAAAAAAAAAACAGGGAAGGCCAAGGGAGACGGGGAGGCGCACGGAGAAGAAATACCTGGCAGAGACAGGTCTGTCTTGGAGGACTTCCAGGAAAAAAAGGTGAATGGCGCTTTCTGTGGCGGGTCTGGTTCATAGAAAAGAGCGCAACGGAGAAATGCTAACAAAATTTGCGCAGAAATTTGCGAACACTGTTAAAATTTTCCGATCACAGATGCTGTTCGACCATAGGTGATAAGCCTAATCGTTGTTAGACTACAGCACGGTGTCGTCCTTAGGCAGTTTTTGCCACAGCAGGTATTAATCACATGGGATTAGACCAGGGGTCTCCAAACTACGGCCCGCGGGCCAGATGCGGCCCGCGAGGTCCTCTCATCCGGCCCGCGGAGATCTTTTTTTCCACGGAAAAAACGTTTGTTGGTGATGGCTGAGGAACTTTGCCCAGAAAAATCAAAGACATGCTTGGAAGAATCTGGCCCGCGAACTAAAATTTGATAGTTAATACGGCCCTCGGTCTGAAAAGTTTGGAGACCCCTGGATTAGACTATAGGTGGTTTGTATAACTAAACCCACACCGACACCTACATCTACATTTACATGTATACCTACATTCACAGTTACACTTACACCTACACCAACGTACCGAATGACCCACCCACCCACCCACCCACCCCCAGACTTGCCTGCCTACCTGCCTTTCAAGTGTGCTAACTACAGCAGTCATTCAGTGGCGTCACAAAATTGGGTGACTCCCAGCTTGCTAACTACACCAGTCATTCAGTGGCGTCACAAAATTGGGTGACTCTCGGTGTTGTCCCTACAACCCTCTTATGTGTTTTTGACGCCACTTCATATATTTTGCGTCATCACTAAAATTAAATTGCTAGTCGATGGCTCATTCCATATCTAAGGTGATTAGACAGAGAATAAAGCAAAACTGCCCAGTCATGGAGATTAACTAAACCCACATCCAAAGATTTACTGAGCTCAACCGAAATCCGTACGAAAAGCCTTAAGATTTGATTAGCCCTCATTCAAACAAGGCCTAAAGATTAACGTAATCCACACCCAAAGAAGTCCTCAAGGTGAAGTAAATCCTGTCAACATCCAACTAGTCTTAGAGTTTAATTCCGCCCCTATCTAATATTTTCTATCCACTAACACAGCTTGATAACTTATTTGCTTGCCAAGTGAAACAACCAATTTACTAGGAGAATAGATATTTGGCATTAAAAACTAATTCTTTTAACCTGTATTTCCAAAATGTATATGCTTTTATATATATATATATATATATATATATATATATATATATATATATATATATATATATATATATATATATATATATACTGCTCTCTCTTTTTTATATTCTAAAGTAATTATTTATTTGTTTTGACATTTATAATTAAACGAGCCGACCCGCTGCGTATCATACGCCGCTATTTAGTTGTTTTTTTTTTCTACTTTTCTGTAATTTATAATTTGTGAATTCGACAGTACCAATGCTGCCACTGAAAAAAATTGATTAAAAACACTAAACCCCCCTCCCCCCCTCCCCCCCCCCCCCCCGTGAAAGCAGCCTCCTCTTAGTTACCTCCTCTAAGTTTAAAATCGTTTCAAACTAAATTATCTGCCCCTAATAGCCGTCACCAAACCCGTCTCTATGATTGTAAAATGTAAACAGCGTGAACCACAGCTCATCAGGCCATGTGAGGGGGTGGGGTGGGGGGGGTGGGGTGGGGTGGGGGGTGGGGTGGGAGCTAAAGAGAGGAAGAGAGGGGACTGTAAGGCGCGCTTGCAGCTTGTTTTCTAAAGGCTCCCAGAAGAGAATTATACATATAGATGTGTAGATATGTACATATTTATATTAAGAGAGTGATTATTTCCCCTATTTCACTTGTCTTAAATAATTTCCCAGGAATTATTATGTAAGAAATTTTTTTTACAAGAATTACAAAACAGATTGTGTTACGTTCGTTGTTTTTGGTTGTAGTGTGTGTATATTTTTTTGTCTAGATTGATACAATGTTTGTTTTGTCGGCCTACATTGTGTGTTTGTTCTTATTTCTTCCGAGTGCTACTTTCAATTTATTTTACATCAGAGCGAAGTAATGACATACAGCTAGTAATGACATACTAGTAATTATATATATATATATATATATATATATATATATATATATATATATATATATATATATATATATATATATATATATATATATTATACACGTATATAGAACGTGTTAAAAATTCGGCGCCTTTTTTTGCTCTTTTCGCTCCCCCTACAACGAAAACCTGGATACGCCTCTGCCTGTGGTGGGAGTTTTCGTGTCCCAGCCAATGTGAAACATAAGATAACAATGTTGTTATTCTCAGCTCCGCATTGAAGCTGTTTGTTACGCGTGTGACTGAAGTTTTGTCTTAGGTTAACAGTTTAGGAAAAAAACGTGAACTGCTTTCAAGACGCAACTCATCTTTTATTAGTACAATTATGTGAACAATATGAAGATCGAGTCAAAACAAATATAAAAAGTTTGAAGAATACAAAGAGCAGTTGACAACGATAAAAGATGTTTTCATTACAAACATTTTGATTATTTCTCCTTCATTATTATACAGTTTTTAAAATAGGTCGTGAATTTGTAACTGTTTTAAACATGGAGTTTTATCTATTTTGTTTTCACCGCGTGTTTTGATTGGCTAGTGAGTTACCACAGCCCGTATTAAAACAAGAAGACACCACTCGTGTCTAAAACAACTCGATCGTCTGCTCTGGTGAGTTCAAATTTGCAATACTTCTTGTGTATCAACTTTTTAAAAATCCCTATTTACTTTCGGGAAGCGGCTACATTTTTCTAATTTAGTCTTCTATACAAGTAAAGCAATGTGAAATGTGTGGCTTGGCGCAATGGGTGCGCTACATTGTCGCTAACCCCGAAATATGGAGAGGAGGAGGGGGGGGGGGGGGGACGGGGGGGGGGTGGGGACTGGGGGTCAAAGCTGATTATTAATACAATTTTAAAAATTCAAATTGTTTGTGTACATTTACTTTACATTTTACCGTAACAACTATCCCTTATTGTTATTGTAAACACACTAAAGTTGATTGAATCTTCTTCTATAATCAGTAACCTACATTATTATCGGCTTATACCAAGAGTAGCCGGAACGACTTACATTTTTATAGGTACATTCTTTGACGTATGCCGCTTCTCGAATCGAGATAGTGAGGGGTGACCGTGAGTAGAGTGCAGTCTACCTGAGATACCCACCTACCTGTGATGCGTCTTGCCTTGAGAACGTGGTGCCATTTGTCCACTTAGATCTTTATGTTTGACATTGTGTTACTGTATAACCCATCTTCCATCGTAGCATTGTCCATTGTGTGTAGTTATTCGTACACAGAAATACACTACAACCAACATTGATCAAAGATGACGTCAAAAATATTCCTGGCGGTTTTATTGCTGACCTGCGTTTCCCATACACAAGGTGAGTACATTAAAACAGCAAGAGGGTAACCAATGGACGAGATAAAAGAACATACGTTACGGGGCGGTATTTAAACATCTAGTTAGCCCAGGGGTCGGCAACCTTTTGAGACGAAAGAGCCAAAAGTTACAATTTACAACATTACCCGGTTTTTAAAGAACCACTAACATTTTTATGCCAATAGTATATTTGTTTAGCATATATATAATCCTAAACAAATATTATACTATATATATATATATATATATATATATATATACATACATATATATATATATACATATATATATATATATATATATATATATATATATATATATATATATATATATATATATATGTATGTATATATATATATATATATGTATGTATATATATAAAATTTAAAATAAATAGCTTTGAATATATGAGATAATCTCATTTGAATTTGTGTTGAGAGGATCTACTATGTAAGTAAGAGTACTTGCATTTGTTTTGAATAGCTGAAATCTCTCAGTAAAAACACACTTCATTTTGTTTATATTAATGTTGAAGTGATTGAATAGAAGCATTGGTTTCATAACGATATTTTTTTCAGATTTTTCGTAATGTAGTAATTTACCGCTCATCGTGTATTCAACAAAAATTTTTTTTTCAAGCAAGACATAGGCTGAGTTTTCCTTTCAGTTTTACACTTAGCTGGTTTAGTTTCTTTGTGATATCCACTATGAAGTTGAATGTTTCAATTCAGACTGGACAATGTAATTGGAACTAGGCTATACTGAGATAGGGAGTAACTAAATATTCTAATAGAATAGTGACTGTTTATTGTTTAGTGACTGTTTATTGTTTATAACTATTGTTATGTCGTTTATTACAGACTGTTGCAGACTAATATTTTATGAGTTTTGGAAATTAAAATAAAATAATTATTAATATTTGTGCATGGAGCTGAAGAGCCGCAACTTGACATCAAAAGAGCCGCACGCGGCTCGCGAGCCGCAGGTTGCCGACCTCTGAGTTAGCCGGGTTATAGACTCAGCAAAAGGAACATTTTTATTAGCCTTGATCCGGACTCTGGACACAAGTTTACAAATGTTAAAGTATGGTAACGATGTTTTGAGGAAGAGAATCTGGAATTTATATGTAATGTTGGGTGATAGCTGCTGACTGTGGGGCTGTTAAGCGAGCCTACTCTCGCATCAAGTATGTCAAAAGCATCGCTAAAGAAAAAAAAGCATACCAGTGATGCATCAATTAAGGTGAATACCTAGTTCGTGGTAAAATTGTTCGTACAAAAAAGTAACTGGATTTTATTGAATATTGTCGGATCTCATTAGTCTATATAATTCTAATAGTAAATACAAATGACTGTATTTGTTTTCTCAAAAAGCTAATTAATTTTATTAGATCTAAAACAATGTGTAGTAAAATTAAATGTGGTTACCTATCAGATGCGAACACAAGTTAACTGTAAACCCAATACTGCATGGAGTACAGAAGTTGTAGAGAAAGCTGGCATTAGTCTAACAAATATTCTATCAGTAAAGTTAGCTGCAATCATCCCTTTACCCTTTTAGGGTTCATGGGACTTATAATAGTTTTAAACCAACAAAAACATACTAAAACATTATAAAAATAAATGAACAGCCTAATGTCCGATCATCTGTTTTAGCGGCACATTTTGTTAGTTGCTATAGTAGTATAAATTATGTATTTTAAAAACATGTTTAAATGAACAATCGTTTTTAAAATAATAGAATAATAGTTCATAGAATAACAGTTCAAATACAATACTAGCCTCAAATAGAGTGTCATAAGGAAATATTGCCCAACAATTTACACAGTCATATGCAATAATATTTATCGATAATATATGCACACTACTTTTCTGCACAGTGCATCCATTTAGATATTCTTTATTTCACATACTTGAGAAACACTAACCTTAGAGTAACACCGATGGAGGGGAAATACTGCACGTTTTTCAACACTTAAATAATCACATCACTTGAAAACACTATTTTTAGAATGTACTAGCCATATAATTATATTGTTTGCGTCTATTGGTGGACGGGAATTTGAAAGATCAGGTACACTGAAATCTCTTGGTAGAAGAAACTTAACCGGGATATTTGTGTGGTATGTCAGGGTACGAAGACAATGGTGGTCGAACATTAATTTTTGCTTAGTAAAGTGGACATTCTTTCTTTTACTTTAGATAACCATTCTTTCTTTTACTTTAGATAACTTTACTGTTATACACATTGAAACCTTTACTAAACGGTCGTATTAAAAACTTCTGCAACTTATATAGGATTCTAATTTCTGACATTGTTGACTGTTATATGGTGTTACAGATGTCGATAAAAATATTTCTGTTGATAAAATTACAGTGTTAATGACTATACATACATGGAATGACAATTTAATTGATTCTCACATAATTAAACCGTAAAACATATTGATAATTAAGTATATATTAGACGCTTAAAATATATGGGTTGATTTTTTATCATCTCTTTTGCGGATACTTTTACATTGATTATGTTTTTATATTTTGTTACATTGATTGTTTTCATATTTTGATACACTGATTATGTTTCCATATCTTGTTACATTGATTATGTTTTCATATCTTGTTACATTGATTATGTTTTCATATCTTGTTACATTGATTATGTTTTCATATCTTGTTACATTGATTATGTTTTCATATCTTGTTACATTGATTATGTTTTCATATCTTGTTACATTGATTATGTTTTCATATCTTGTTACATTGATTATGTTTTCATATCTTGTATATTGATCATGTTTTCATATCTTGTTACATTGATTATGTTTTCATATCTTGTTACATTGATTATGTTTTCATAACTTGTTACATTGATCATGTTTTCATATCTTGTTACATTGATTATGTTTTCATGTCTTGTTACATTGATTGTGTTTTCATATCTTGTTACATTGATTGTGTTTTTATATCTTGTTACATTGATTATGTTTTCATATCTTGTTACATTGATTATGTTTCATATCTTGTTACATTATGTTTTCATATCTTGTTACATTGATTATTGTCACACCCTTTTTGTGTGACTGGGTTCACGATATAAACTTGCCACAGGCCTTTCTCCTACCTTTTATATATCACACATACGAAATCAAAGACAAGCCTTCTTTTACAGTTTTCATATTTATTTTGTCTTCACATAGACAGCGTGTTCAGCCAACTTACGCCATGTTCTTGCCTTCTTCTCTACTTCCCCTCGCGCATGCGCACAGCCACTGTCTTTCTCTGATGCAATCTCACACACACACACTCCCAAGATACGATCCACCAATGTTTCACTGTTATAATTATGTTTTCATATTTTGTTACATTATGTTTTCATATCTTGTTACATTGATCATGTTTTCATATCTTGTTACATTGATTATGTTTTCATATTTTGTTACATTATGTTTTCATATCTTGTTACATTGATCATGTTTTAATATCTTGTTACATTGATTATGTTTTCATATCTTGTTACGTTGATTATGTTTATGTTACATTGATTATGTTTTCATATCTTGTAACATTGATTATGTGTTCATATCTTGTTACATTGATTATGTTTTCATATCTTGTTACATTGATTATGTTTTCATATCTTGTTACGTTGATTATGTTTATGTTACATTGATTATGTTTTCATATCTTGTTACATTATGTTTTCATATCTTGTTACATTGATTATGTTTTCATATCTTGTTACATTGATTATGTTTTCATATTTTGTTACATTAATTATGTTTTCATATCTTGTTACGTTGATTATGTTTTCATATCTTGTTACATTGATTATGTTTTTATATCTTGTTACATTGATTATGTTTTCATAACTTGTTACTTTGATTATGTTTTCATGTCTTGTTACATTGATTATGTTTTCATATCTTGTTACATTATGTTTTCATATCTTGTTACATTGATTATGTTTTCATATTTTGTTACACTGATTATGTTTTCATATCTTGTTACGTTATGTTTATGTTACATTGATTATGTTTTCATATCTTGTAACATTGATTATGTGTTCATATCTTGTTACATTGATCATGTTTTCATATCTTTTACTTTGATCATGTTTTCATATCTTGTTACATTGATTATGTTTTCAGATCTTGTTACATTATGTTTTCATATCTTGTTACATTGATTATGTTTGTATATCTTGTTACATTGATCATGTTTTCATATCTTGTTACATTGATTATGTTTTCATTTCGTGTTACATTGATCATGTTTTCATATCTTGTTACATTGATTATGTTTTCATATCTTGTTACATTGATTATGTTTTCATATCTTGTTACGTTGATTATGTTTATGTTACATTGATTATGTTTTCATATTTTGTTACATTGATAATGTTTTCTTATCTTGTTACATTGATCATGTTTTCATATCTTGTTACATTGATTATGTTTTCATTTCGTGTTACATTGATTATGTTTTCATATCTTGTTACACTGATTATGTTTTCATATTTTGTTACATTGATTATGTTTTCATATCTTGTTACATTGATTATGTTTTCATATCTTGTTACGTTGATTATGTTTATGTTACATTGATTATGTTTTCATATTTTGTTACATTGATAATGTTTTCATATCTTGTTACATTAATTATATTTTTATATTTTGTTACATTCATTATGTTTTCATATCTTGTTACATTGATTATGTTTTCATATCTTGTTACATTGATTATGTTTTCATATCTTGTTACACTATGTTTTCATATCTTTTAACATTGATTATGTTTTCATATCTTGTTACATTGATTATGTTTTGATATCTTGTTACATTGATTATGTTTTCATATCTTATTACATTGATTATGTTTTCATATCTTGTTACATTGATTATGTTTTCATATCTTGTTACATTGATTATGTTTTTATATCTTGTTACATTATATTTTCATATCTTATTACATTGATCATGTTTTGATGTCTCGTTACATTGATTATGTTTTCATACTTTGTTACATTGATTATGTTTTCATATCTTGTTACATTGATTATGTTTTCATATCTTGTTACATTGATTATGTTTTCATATCTTTTACATTGATTGTGTTTTCATATCTTGTTACATTGATTATGTTTTCATATCCTGTTACATTGATTATGTTTTCATATCTTATTACATTGATTATGTTTTCATATTTTGTTAAATTAATTATGATTTCATATCTTGTTACATTATGTTTTCATATCCTGTTACATTGATTATGTTTTCATAACTTGTTACTTTGATTATGTTTTCATGTCTTGTTACATTGATTATGTTTTCATATCTTGTTACATTATGTTTTCATATCTTGTTACATTGATTATGTTTTCATATTTTGTTACACTGATTATGTTTTCATATCTTGTTACGTTATGTTTATGTTACATTGATTATGTTTTCATATCTTGTAACATTGATTATGTGTTCATATCTTGTTACATTGATCATGTTTTCATAGCTTTTACTTTGATCATGTTTTCATATCTTGTTACATTGATTATGTTTTCAGATCTTGTTACATTATGTTTTCATATCTTGTTACATTGATTATGTTTGTATATCTTGTTACATTGATCATGTTTTCATATCTTGTTACATTGATTATGTTTTCATTTCGTGTTACATTGATCATGTTTTCATATCTTGTTACATTGATTATGTTTTCATATCTTGTTACATTGATTATGTTTTCATATCTTGTTACGTTGATTATGTTTATGTTACATTGATTATGTTTTCATATTTTGTTACATTGATAATGTTTTCTTATCTTGTTACATTGATCATGTTTTCATATCTTGTTACATTGATTATGTTTTCATTTCGTGTTACATTGATTATGTTTTCATATCTTGTTACACTGATTATGTTTTCATATTTTGTTACATTGATTATGTTTTCATATCTTGTTACATTGATTATGTTTTCATATCTTGTTACGTTGATTATGTTTATGTTACATTGATTATGTTTTCATATTTTGTTACATTGATAATGTTTTCATATCTTGTTACATTAATTATATTTTTATATTTTGTTACATTCATTATGTTTTCATATCTTGTTACATTGATTATGTTTTCATATCTTGTTACATTGATTATGTTTTCATATCTTGTTACACTATGTTTTCATATCTTTTAACATTGATTATGTTTTCATATCTTGTTACATTGATTATGTTTTGATATCTTGTTACATTGATTATGTTTTCATATCTTATTACATTGATTATGTTTTCATATCTTGTTACATTGATTATGTTTTCATATCTTGTTACATTGATTATGTTTTTATATCTTGTTACATTATATTTTCATATCTTATTACATTGATCATGTTTTGATGTCTCGTTGTATTGATTATGTTTTCATACTTTGTTACATTGATTATGTTTTCATATCTTGTTACATTGATTATGTTTTCATATCTTGTTACATTGATTATGTTTTCATATCTTTTACATTGATTGTGTTTTCATATCTTGTTACATTGATTATGTTTTCATATCCTGTTACATTGATTATGTTTTCATATCTTATTACATTGATTATGTTTTCATATTTTGTTAAATTAATTATGATTTCATATCTTGTTACATTGATTGTGTTTTCATATCTTGTTACATTGATTATGTTTTCATATCTTGTTACATTGATTATGTTTTCATATCATGTGACATTGATTATGTTTTCATTTCGTGTTACATTGATTATGTTTTTATTTCTTGTTACACGGATTATATATTCATATTTTGTTACATTGATTATGTTTTCATATCTTGTTACATTGATTATGTTTTCATATCTTGTTACATTGATTATGTTTTCATATCTTGTTACATTAAGTTTTCGCATCTTGTTACATTGATTATGTTTTCATATTTTGTTAAATTAATTATGATTTCATATCTTATTACATTGATTATGTTTTCATATCTTGTTACATTGATTATGTTTTCATATCTTGTTACATTAAGTTTTCATATCTTGTTACATTGATAATGTTTTCATATCTTGTTACATTGATTATGTTTTCATATTTTGTTAAATTAATTATGATTTCATATCTGATTACATTGATAATGTTTTCATATCTTGTTACATTGATTATGTTTTCATATCTTGTTACATTAAGTTTTCATATCTTGTTACATTGATTATGTTTTCATATCTTGTTACATTGATTATGTTTTCATATTTTGTTACATTGATTATGTTTTCATATCTTGTTACATTGATTATGTTTTCATTTCGTGTTACATTGATTATGTTTTCATATCTTGTTACATTGATTATGTTTTCATATCTTGTTACATTGATTATGTTTATGTTACATTGATTATGTTTTCATATTTTGTTACATTGATTATGTTTTCATATCTTGTTACGTTGATTATGTTTATGTTACATTGATTATGTTTTCCTATCTTGTTACATTGATTATGTTTTCAGCATTGTGTGCAGCTTATCCACATGAAACATCACAGCGAGAGATCATAGAAACTATCAGGGTAAGTCATTTTTGCTTAGTGTTGTGTTTTGTTAAGTTAATATTTGTAAGATAAAAGAAAAATATTGTTCACAATAATTAAATTTATTATTCCTAAATGAGTGAATAATTTACGTTAAAATGAAAAAACAAAATACGGAAAGTAAAAGATGAAAACAAAAGGTTTTCCAAAGCTTTAACAATTTTTAAAATTATAATATGCTTCATATTACTCGAAATGATATCAGTTTCTTAAGTGCACCATCGGAAAAGCTGTATTTTTCCAGTTTTAGAATAACCAACATTTGTGTGCAGTTTTTCTTACCTACTGCTAGTTTTCTTGGCCAGCATTTGCCGAAGTTTCAGCATTAAACTAATACTTTTAAAATGTGTGTATCTAAGTAATGTTAGGCATACTGAAGCGTTCCGTCTTGCCGGGCATGAAGCTGCAGCAAACTAGTTTCATTCAAATGTCAATTTGACATCGCACTAGGCTTTTTTTTAAACATCCGAGAGTTTAGTTTACATTTGTTAGAATATCAATTTAGAGATCATTAACACTCTTATCATTTATACCGTTTTTTTCATTTTGTTCACAAATTGATTATGACATATAAAGTAAGACATAGAATATCCTACCTGAACTTAATATTTTGTTGCACTGAATGATAAAATAATTGTTACTTTTTGCACATACAGTATAAACAGCATAACCTGAACATATAATGATCAATGAAAGAATGTAACAGTTTTGAGAAAAATGTTAAATGAATTAATAACATCGATGGACCATTAAACCTGTCTCAATATCGAACCGTTCATTGTCTCCATTATAATAAAACCCATCTGTGTCCTACATGTAAGCTACTACCGATGCGCTAACGAATGGTGAAGCGAGTGAAACAGCTCAAAACGAAGTGAATCAATATTTTATCAGTACAAAATTAAAAGGTTAAAAGTAGATTGTGTCATTGCATTGAGCTAGCATAAGCAAGACGTTGTCGCTTTCTTTATATTTAGTTAAAGATAGCATACACAATGTACTTTTATATCTGTTATTTCTGTTACATTGCGTCGTGATCGAAATCTATAACATAAATTCTAAAATATGTCATTAGGTGTAGGCTATGAAAACCCAAAAAATGCTGTAGTCACTAAACAAAATGTAGATGCCACAGCGCTCACTGGTAGGCCCGGGGCGCTAAATAGCACCATGTCGGGGCGCCAGAAAACGCCCTGAATTCGATTTAGTCAACGACTATAGTAACCCTTTTTATCCATAGCCTATCGCACTGTTTAAAACGAATGTATGCACCATACCGCTCACAGGATAGCTCAGGGCGCCAAATGGAACCCTGTCGGGGCGCCGGCGGACGCGCCTGATTTTATTTAGTGAACGACTATTATACCCCAAGCTTGTCCGCAAACCGAAAGATATAAGTAAACATAGAGGACATTTAGGAGCTGCTTCTAAACTATTATTGATTGAAAATAATAATTAGTAGCCTAAATTGTACGTTTAGTGTATAAAATAAAAAAAAGGCAGTATTTAAATTATTTAAAATACCCTTGTTTTATCTACCACATTACGCTTTATCAATCCATGGTTATATAATTTTTTTTTCGAAACCAAAAAAAAACTAATAAAGATTATTTTTTTCCGATGCAATTTAAGAAAAGGAAAAGGAAAGTAATTGGCCATAAAGGAACAAAGTAAAGTAATTTTTACACTCTTTAAATTTTGTAAAGGATGATACATTTTCTTTGAATTGTTTATTTCACTTGTTAATTAAAATGATACGTTTGGAAAATGAAACTTATTTTACAAAACCATCAATATTATTTTTAATCATTAATTTTGAAAATAAATGCTTTAAGAACATTACAATATGGCGATCATATCGAGTGTTTTTACTACACACATGGGTGCTACGGGTCCATCCGACCGTACGCTGTTACATACCAAATCCGCTTGAGCTTTATATATTAGATTACAAATTACCGTTTTTTCTTTTTTAAAAAAATCCTTTTTTTTTATCAACAGCCTTGCTATGACAAATGTGTTGCCAACTATCTATGCTTTAGTTACTGGTACTTTGTCGAAGAAAATGTGTGCTTGCTCAGGATATTAAATGGGACTAGCCTAAATGTTGACGATAATTCGTATTCAAACCATGAAGGCTATATAGCCTGCAGTAATAGATCACGTAGGGCACTTTCTTCTATTGGATTTTAAAAAAAAAACGTCAACGCCTATGTCCATGACTGTGCCTGCGCCTGTGCTGTGCTATGCCAGTGCCTCTGCCCGTGTCCGTGTCTGTGTCTACGTCTTTGTCTGTGTATTCGTTTGTTGCTTTCTCTGTGTCTGTTCTGTGTGGGTATTTGTTTGTGGCTTTGTCTATACACACACACATACACACACACACACACACACACATATATATATATATATATATATATATATATATATATATATATATATATATATATATATATATATATATATATATCCCTCATTGTTTTTAGAAAATTACACAATGTATATATATATATATATATATATATATATATATATATATATATATATATATATATATATATATATATACATTGTGTAATTTTCTAAAAACAATGAGGAATTTATGCTGGTTACTTAGCTAAATGTGAAACCTATGACGAGGGACAAGAGACATTTAGTGTAACAGCATCCAATCACAAGGTAAAACATAGGTTTAAAAAATCTACTCTAGTTAAAACATATTTATAAAGTAAAGCAATCAGTCAAGTTCTCAGTGCTGTTGACCTTACGCTTATAAAATATTTTTAACCTTTTGGGCCTTGATTAGAACTCTATTATATATTATTTTGATGAGTTTTAAAGTTTGAAAAGGTGTTTCATAGTGTAAAGTGTTCAATAGTAGGGGAATTTAAAAAGCACAATTTAGTCTTCTCAAATAAATTTATCGCGATTATCCAACAACTATACCAGTTTCGAATGCCAAATGACACATAATACGAATTATCAGAAGCCTCTAAAGTACAAGTTGTAGTGAGACAATGTCAGCTCTCAACATTTGACAGTTATATATGAAGTAGTTGAATGTACGGCAATGAATAAGACTACAAACTACAATGACGCGTCAAAATGGGCGATCTCTGCATACTCTCATTTAGTTTACAGCTAATACATTTCAAATATAGAGGAAAATAAATGTACTTGCTGAATAAGCAGAAAAATAGGTCAAACTATTAAAATCAAGTAACAAAAATGAATTTAAGTAACAAATTCACTAATTAGTTAAAATAAATGAAAAAAAAAATAGAAGAACTGACAAAATTGACCTATCTGGGAAGTGAAGTGTCCAACACGTTTAGGTTACAAACAGCCATGCACGTTTGCTCATATCTTTTTACACCATTCTGGAATTAAATGTTTCGTCACTATGAACTAAACTCAAGATCTTGGGCAGAATAACTAAACATTAGAGACATTACACAGCAAAAAAAAAATTTTCAATGACTTTATAAACAGGTTAATAACATAAATGGTAGGAAAAAATGTCAAATCTACGCCTTAATAAGGTATGCAGACAAGTACCGACGGAGAGCGAAATAAAAGGAAGTAAGTGTGGATTGGGCACCGCCTCAGTAACACAAGTAGACAGTCACTGGGGTGGAATCCGCAGAGATGGAGGGGTGGGCGCCGTATTCCCGCCAGCTACTTATGTGTAAAGTACACGTGTAAAAGTTTGTTCTTATTTTTAAATACATTTTTTATTTACTATAGGTATTTAAAAACATTACAATAATAAAACCATTCTCAAGTCAATTTTACCACATCGAACGTGTTGGTTGGTAAAAGTGCGAAAATATTAGTGCCTTGCATGGCAAAATTTAAATTGGTTTCAAAAAATTAAGAAAACATGCACATATTTCAAAGTTCACTTTAAATTACATTATGTGAATCTTTACCTGTCTGTGAATCTAGAAAGAAATCGGTTCGGCATAAGTGACTTAAATGTGTACAATACGACATACATGATGTGGAAGCAAGTTAAATCAAAAACAACACAAGCCAAATAGTAATTGTTTCAGGCGCGCAATATGTCTATTTGACAATGTTTAACCCTTTCCCCGGCAACATATTTGGTACCCTGTCCCCGGCAACTGGGTGGATCACACCCAAAGACTTTCTTATAGTAAATTCTTTTCTTTGTTCGTTGTGGGGTGGGTAACAATACTGACACAGTTGAGGTATTCAGGGCACAGAGGCCATGGGGAACACAAGACATGTTGTTGTCAATGGGAGAGCTGTAATATGATACTAGTGGTTGATGGGATTCTCAAGCAAGAGTTAACCTGTGGGTGGACACATGTAGTGATTTACACTCTTTGCTGGAGCTCTGACTTGCAGTTACAGACAGAACTGTAGTTTAGAGTTACAATAGGTTAATGAAATGCAGGGATAAGATTGCCTGTGGGAGGACATATATGGTGATTTGTACTCTTTTAGGGAGCTCTGGAATGTAGATAGAGACAGTGGAGCATTTTAGAGTAACTTGACATTAACCTCATTAGGAGTACGAATGAGGACAAATAGGCAAAATAACTTTGTAATGCTGCTTGAAAGTTGATACTGGGTAATGAATTGATCAAACTGGGAGTGGGGTGGGTGTTCTACAGGTTGTGACCCTTAGAATAAGGTTTATAAATAGCCATAAACATTATTGAGAACACAACAGAAACAAGTCTTGAATGCTTTTGTCTAAACTCAAGGCGAATGATAAAGGAATATATTTGCCAGTTTTGGTATAGCAGGTGAAAATTACCAACAAGTTTTGAGTCTGAACTATCAGTATCAGAGGTAGAAGATGAAGAATTGCAGCCTTCAGTATCAGAGGTAGAAGATAATTCTGGTTCAGTTTCAACCAGCTCTGATGACAAGGTCTACCCAATATACTGCATTTCAACTATCAATAATGTGTCAACAGTTGGCACTCATAATGAAATGAAATGGCTGGTGCAAAGTGAAGAAAAAGAAATATTTTCAGGAAAGACAAAGTAACAGTACACTAGACCACTGCCTGAAGTGCTAATCCCAGTAAAAATATAAACAGCCTGACTCAAAATATTTCTTCTGTACATGAATACAAAAAATAATACAACCAATATTTGACTGCATTAGCAGGGATGGAGAGAAAGCAAGAGGAGACACTGGCACTCTGCAGAATAACAATTTAGTTGTATGTCAATTCAGTTCTGCTTATGGAAATTTTTGAAGGCAGAATTTTCTATGAAGAGATTCAGCAGCCATCTGGGTCATATTCACTTTCACAACAATTACAATAAGTCCATCAGGCTCATGGTATATTTGCTTCCATTATGGTAGATATTCCATACAAATTTAGAAAGGTGTTATGTTTCTGGAGAGATCATTACTAATTGGGCAACTGGTTGATTTTAGAGGTGGGAGTAGATTTATCCAATATATACCAAGCAATTCCGATAAGTATGGAATTAAAATATTTTGGGCATGTGACTCATGTAACACCACTAAAAGGGTGTCCATATTTTGTCAAAGAAAACTAAAGTTCCCTGCCAGCAATAGGATATGTCCAGTTATTTTAATTTTATCCTAACAACTGTGCTCTCTGATGTGCAAATTATTAAAACGTTCTACTGTTCTATTATTTTATTACTAAAGTTGATTACTTCAATCCTGTTTGATATTTTTGTTACTCAAATACCTTCAGATTGTTAATTTATAGTTTAACTTTGAAAATTTAACACAATGACTTCACCCACAACGAGTAAAAACAAATATTTAGAAGCCAGTTTATAAGTTATAAATATTTTTTCCATTTAAAATTGTGTACGGGTGTGTAAAACCCAGTTGCCAGGGACCGTATAAAAAAATTTCAAACCCTCATAAAAAATTTTTTTACGCATATTTTTTAAATTTACAACCTCCAATGTGTTCATCCCAACCACCTTATAGATGGGAATGAGGCCCAGAAAAATTTATAAAACGAGACTCGAGATATGAGCAAAAATATAGCGACTTCGGGTCGATTACACCCAGTCGCCGGGGAAAGGGTTAAACACTGAACGAAATAAAAAAAAAAACTAAGTTTTTTCCCTCTCATCAAAAGGACTGTTTTATGACTTGCCTCAACCACGGAAGATGTCTAAAATATACATACTTCAAGTCAAATAAATATTGTCAGCTTCAAGTGAGCACAGGAAGTCGTATTGATGTTGAAAGCTTTCGTGTGTACTTGTTTTGCACTGGGCAATAAAGGCTAATGTGATGTTTTCATTACAATCAAATGCAATTCTAAGAAATAGCAATGTTTAAACACACAAATTGTTATAACTTTGTCATAATATCAAAAGTTTACCATGTGTTAGATAGCCTTTTGTAAGTCAGTCGCTTCCGTAGGAAATAAAAACTTTGAACTTGTTTCTGTTTTGTTGCTTTTCTTTCATGGGAACTTACAAATAATATTGTTACTTCGGTTAAAAAAATAATTCTATTTACTTTTAATGATCCGACTGTTACCTTGACATTTATGATCGTATAATCTTCAATGCACAAAATTGAGTGGCTATTTAATTACAACATTTTTTTTTGTAATATGCTCAATTGGGAAATATACTTCAATTTATGGGAGTTGATCGAATTTGCTGTTGGGTGCTAGAATAACTATGTAACAAACATGTACAACCTTTAAAATAACAGCCTTTTAATTTCACTGAAATAAGGAAAATACATATCATTTGCTTTCTTTCATAAAAGCTTTGGTCGTTTGTAAGTGCTCTTACATATTTGAGCGATCTTATTTTTTATCACAAGCTTTTATTTAACTTGCTTCCTCTGTCTGTAGACAGTCAGTCTATCTATCGTCATCGATTGAAACGGGCGAGCGAAATTTCGGGCACATCTAATTGACAGATTCGTTTCAAAGTTTGCACGTGGGTCAAGACTTAAACACAATGCAATATAACATTAAAGTTGACTAAATTAGCTGCCTATAAATTGTGAATGAATGAAAAAGATTTTCTGAAATTAGTAGGCAGCCTTGTACTACTCTTTCCGCACTATTTCATACGCATTATCATGTTCATTTGGTCCGCAATATGTCAAGCTTTTATGTAATAATGCACTTAAAAAGAAGAAAATAAATGATTTTTAAAAAATACACTATTATTTGAATAACTATAGTAAAAATATATTTTAGAAAATTCATATTTCCATAGCCATTAATATGGCTATATAGAGATATAGTTGTACGCATAAGAGCATTCATTATTTTAAATTTTTATTCAGGCATCATTATTTTACCCGTTGCTAGTCGTGAAAGAAATATTATTTGCAACAACGTATTTACCGGTATCGGTCAACTTGACGTGGTCAGCTTGACTATGCAGATGATTTCTAAATTCTATAAGAAGGTCTAAGGCGGTGAAATCTAGTTGCACTCTTAGATAAGGGAAGCGGTCCGCAAAATATATGTCAAATTACAAATTGAAGTTCGATAGAAGTGATCGAAATTTCGTTTCGCAATTTTTTATACAGGACGGGAGAAAGACAAAAGCACGAAAAAGGAATAAAACAAAATGAAAACTAAAACTAAAGTGAAAGTGTGTCAATGTAGCAAGCCTATACGATTATTTTATCTGGTCACAATTTTCTTTTTGTCTTAAAGGTTTATTTGTCTACATTGTTTATACTGTAACTCACGGTGTCACCCCCATATATATATATATATATATATATATATATATATATGCTAAAACGATATAATTGACATGAAGCTTAAGTCGAACAGAGAAAGGAAGCAATAGTTTAGTAAAAACTAGACTAAATGTTACTTATATATAGAGTTATGTGATTATCTCCTCCGTCCTTGATGTGGGCAGTCAAACACTTGCTCATAATGTCCATAGTCATTCTTTTAATCATGTGTAAACAAGCGTACGGGAGTGGGCCTCAAGTTACGGTAGCCAAGCTTTTCTTTCACGTCCTTTGATCGTTTCAGGATTTTCTTTCAGACCCTATCTGACGATATTTGTTTGTAGTTTTCGTTACTTGTGCCCAATCCAGCGGCTTCTAGACAAATGTAGTTTCCTATAATGGACTTCGGTATCATCTGCCAAATGCAGCCATTGCATATAGAGTTTGGCCAGCAAAAGAGTAAAATGCTTCTGAGGCAGCTGTTTCGGCACGGTACTTGTGGTTATCATCTAGGCTTCTGCTCATTCAAGAAAAACATGCCTTACATTACAGTCTACTCAAGTAAGTCTCTTAAAGGGTCCATATATTTTCATGCTGCATGAAGGCATCTCTTTCTCAGTGGCGTCGGTAGGTCGGGTGTTACCAGGTGAGTCATTGTGTGTGTGTGTATCGGCCTGCATTGGACTATAATTTAAATGTATGCCACATACGCGTACTTGTATGCTTATAAGCTTTAATCACTGCAGACGTAATAGTAACGATGTTTTATCTATAGTTTGTTAATAAAATAGATGAAGCATTGTTTTCTCTGAAGTTTACGTTTACGTCATTATAAATAGAACAGGCAAAAAAGCAGTTTTTCCAATGCATTTTGCAATTTTTTGCTTCTGTGTCACCCCCCCCCCCCTAAATGGCGTTACCCAGTGCAGCCTGCACCCCAGCTCTGCCCTCGCTACGCCTCTGCTCTTGTTGTCTGACCATGTCATTCCAGCTAACTCAACTTTCTCCTCATGCTCATCTACGATGCCACACAGTTAATTAAATATCTCTACCTGATCAAAAGACGGAACTGCCATTTAATCTAACTGAATCAACACTAGTTTGTCTTTACTATTTTCTTCTTTTCGTAGTTCTTTTGCTAAAGATTACTCGCCATTGCTTGTAAAATAATAATCCCGTGTAGACCTCCTGGTGAACAAAATAGGCATTAAAGTTTCTAATATATACGTGCGCCAATGTAACGATATCTTATTAAGCAACATCTGGTATCACTGATAGGTTTAATTACAAAATAAATGTATGAAAGATTTGAGCTTGGCCTAAGCCTTTTATTTTAATTAATATAAGCATGTGTGGTTGCATTTCAAATAAATTATTTACTTGCAAATTTATTAGGTTACATTTATAATTTACTTGAAGGGAATAGTGTTTTGTATGTATAGTCTTTTTATACTGTAAGTGTAAATAATATGTCATAACCACATTGCACTTAAGTCTAATATGTTTTGATATAGCTGGAAAAGCAGTGTTCCACATTGAAGTCTGAGATGCCGTGTCAATTACTGGGGGGGGGGGGGGGGGGGGGGATGAATTGGATAAATCTTCCGCCGCCAGTTGTGAGGGTTGGAATAAACAGCAACCACCACCAATTGTGAGAGTGCGGGTGATGAAGATGATGAAAAGATCCAACTCACTGTTCAAGTCAAAATATATAGTTCTTTATTAAAATTTGTACAGAATCCACTAATCTACACCGTACTACTACCACTACTATCTAACTGTATCTAGCTCTACATTTGTCAGACCGTCTCTACTTAACTCTGACCGTTCTCTAGCTAACTATCAACTGTTTCCCTACAAATTTCGACCGTCTCTAACCGATACCTAACACCTTCTGCTGGCCTATTTGCAGACCCACGCTTCAGTGGTCAGCTGACCGTCCCACGTGACCGGGCAGCTCCTGTACTTTCATTGGTCTCTCTGACCAACTCGCTATAGTCTGTTTCTGCTACTCTCTATCTGCTTGACCTATCCTGGACGTAACCTTGCGTCATCACAACTACATTCCTCGAAGACGTTGTTAATTATTGAATCTATTCCAGAGCTTTTTTTTTTCCGCTGTAGGTTTTGCAAACTTCAGAGTTGTCTTCAACCCCCACCCTCCATACTCGATGATGGTTCTCATCTGACAATCAAACCAACCAACAAACAAACAAACAAACAAACAGACGTTGCGAACTAAATAAAAGCTTGTAAAAACAATAATACAGTGATTCAAGAGGCTTAGTTTAAATCTATATTGCTTTAGAAGGTTTTAAACAAACCTAAATGCATTAAAACCCGGTATTATTTATAATGTTGCTATCATAATACATTGTTGATTACAGTTTAGTGTCAAGTTGCTAAATGCAATTGTTGATTTCGTGAGCATATCACTGTGTTGAGTGTGTTGGTTCGGTGTTTGGTCTACTCGTTATGCGATGTATGTTTGTGCTGGGATGGGTCAAGAGAAATGATATGTATGGCGTAAGATGAATGATTTTGTGGATCTTTGGGTAAGTGGGTGTCGTGTTGTTCGCTGGTTGGGATAGGGATTGGTTCAGCTATAAGATTTGGGTGCAGGGTGGGGGTGGTTCCGCGTTTATGTTATGTATGGGGCGGGATGGTGTTGGATTTTGTTCGGAGCGCTGTTCATATGTCTTGAGGGTTGGGGTGTTTGGCGAACAGTTTGGGGTTTGTTAAGGAGCATGTGTGTAGCGAAGTAGGCTGTGGTGTATTGGAAATGGTAACGATAATGTGATTAGTGAGAGGAGGTGTGGGTTGTGCTATGTGAGGTAGTGGAATGTTGATCGTGGGTTGTGCTATGTGAGGTAGTGGAATGTTGATCGTGGATTGTGCTATGTGAGGTAATGGGATGTTGATCGTGGGTTGTGCTATGTGAGGTAGTGGGATGTTGATCGTGGGTTGTGCTATGTGAGGTAATGGGATGTTGATCGTGGGTTGTGCTATGTGAGGTAATGGAATGTTGATCGTGGGTTGTGCTATGTGAGGTAGTGGGATGTTGATCGTGGGTTGTGCTATGTGAGGTAATGGGATGTTGATCGTGGGTTGTGCTATGTGAGGTAGTGGGATGTTGATCGTGGGTTGTGCTATGTGAGGTAGTGGGATGTTGATCGTGGGTTGTGCTATGTGAGGTAGTGGGATGTTGATCGTGGGTTGTGCTATGTGAGGTAGTGGGATGTTGATCGTGGGTTGTGCTATGTGAGGTAGTGGGATGTTGATCGTGGGTTGTGCTATGTGAGGTAGTGGAATGTTGATCGTGGGTTGTGCTATGTGAGGTAGTGGGATGTTGATCGTGGGTTGTGCTATGTGAGGTAGTGGAATGTTGATCGTGGGTTGTGCTATGTGAGGTAGTGGAATGTTGATCGTGGGTTGTGCGTTTTAATCTAGTGTGTTGTGTTGTCTTTAAGGTTGGGTGTGCGATGTTGTGGTTCAGGTTTGTTGGGGCACGCTTGGATTGTGTGGTGACGTGTGGACCGGGACAATATGTGGTTTACTTAGGGTGTCGTTCATGCTGTCGTGTATGCAATGGTGTGCGTTAAGGTGGTGTGGAGCGAGGTGTTATGGGTTTTGATCAACCCCGTGTGTTGTGTTTTATTTGTGTGTGTAGTTTGGTGTATGGTGATTCGTGTGTATGGTGTTGGATGAGGGATTGTGTGTGAATCATGATATTAGTGGGTCTAGTTATGCGTTATGCTATGTGGTGTAGTGGGATGTGTCGGGTTGGTAAGGAGAGGGGGAGATGGGGAGTGAGGCAGGTGGTGTAGAGTTTGGTTTGTGGATCGTGGTGTCGTGCGGGTTGGGGTGCGTTTGTTTTAAATCTCCCCTTTTGTTATCCTCTCCCCTTAAATATTGTTAATATCTGATTTTGTGAAATGTATGTATTTTACGAGAATTTCAAAGAACATTTGCTTTATGTCTAGTCCAATTCTTTCGTATCCTCTAAAAACTACACTGCAGAAGTTTAGACCTTGGCGAAGCAAGGGTATGCAGGGTTGGGGATAGCACTTTCAGTGCAATCGTGCAATAGAAATTTTTTGTTCATACTTAAGCTTTCTAAATAGAATATAATCGAGTAAAAACAAAAATTACGCAAATAAATTAATGTAAGAAATGAGTGCATAATTAAGTTGATATTAGCAATTTATTAAAAAATAATATTCTTTAAAAGTCCATTTAACATAATCAAGTCATACTTTTGTGTCACAGTTTATTGTCATCGAGTCTATGACTACGTACAAAGTTTGAAGAAAATCGGTCCAGTAGAAATGTCATTTTTTGAGAAATTGGAACTACCGTAAATTACTACTTTCGTTATCCGGATATGAATTCGATAGAATAAGAATAATAAGATCTCACCCCAGTCTATACAATTTCGTTTACCTAGATAAAACGGCACTTACGTTATCGGTATTTTAGATACTATAAATAGAATACAGTACCACCTTCGATTTTCGGAGGTCACTAAAAATTGAAAATATTTCAAGCCTAATGTTTTATACCGATGTATGTAATTTTGTCTTCCTAACTGAAACACTACTCAAATAAGGGTGTTCACGTGGAAATTGAGTAAAGTTTCAATACCGGTTACCTTTAATCGTTCAAAAGTTAAAAAATGTTTTTGCATACAATGTAGTCGGCGAACAAGCGACCCCCCCCCCCCTTCTAGTAAAAGTTGGAAAGCGGTTTTCTTCGGTCACTGTTTCTTAAAGGTATATGCTTTCCAGTTACACAGTCAAGGTAAAAAAAACAACAGTTAAATCAGTATTCTAAGGCTTGTAAGTAAAGTTCCCTTTCAAACCCGACCGTCTATGGGGCAAGTGAAGTAGAGTTCACTTGTTTCTGTGACCTCGGCATATGAAGAGATAGTGTGGTCAGCACTATGCCCAGCCGCCTTTACTTTCCCAAACGTGAGTTAGGTACCCATCAGACTTGGGTGGACTCAGGGACGGTCTACTGACTTGAACCCGGATTCGAACTCGAGACTTACGGGTTAGCAGTCCATCTCTCTACCGCTAGACAACTTCGTGTGCTAAGGCTTGTAGCCGATACATATCTTAACTTTGACTATTTATAATTCAAAACTGCATCTTAAAATGAGCTTTTATATTTTTCTACCCCTTTCGGCGCCTCCCCCTCCCCGGGTCGGCTACCGGTGCGCCCCCCCCCCTACCTACGTCTCTGACTGTATGTAGCTTACCGATGATCTACTTACTATCATATTTAGCTACCTGCAATACAATATTTTTACCCGATAATTTTCGCTAGTAATGCAGCTTAGACATAAGATACATAATGTCGACATTGCTTGTATATATTAATTTTTTGCTGTAAGTAATATAACATTGTAATACGATAATCTATATCTAGCTTTGAATATTAGACATATGTTCTAGGGCTTAGACAATTAATGTTGTTTATAAAACCTATTTCACTGTAATCCTTTAAATACCATAGTATTCTAGTTACAAATGCCGTTAAATGAAATTAAACTCACATAGGCCTATACCTACAGATTAGCAAGGTTTAAATATACAGATTAGATATAAAATTTGAGTGCCAGATTGTTTCCACCGCGTGTTTTGATTGGCTACTGAGCTACCACAGACCGTATAACAAGGCATACCACTTGTGGTCACGGTTGCTGAAACAATTTGATCGTCTGCTCTGGTGAGTTTATTTCTAAAAGATGGTTTGCTGGGGTTTAAAGTTATTTTTACAATTTACGTAACAAATGTTCTATTGTTTAGCTTAATGTTAAGTGCTATTCTAGAGCTTCAACAGGAAATTCTTTCATATAAATATTGACATGTACATTAATTTGTATTTTTATTTAGGACTCCTTTCCTGGAAGGGAATAGTGCATTGCATGTAAACTGTTATCACACATAAGGTGTATTAATTTTGTTTATGGCTGTTTGACCATCTACACACATTAATAAGATTTTCTGCTTTATTTATGTGTGTGTATGTGCGTGTGTGAGTTACGGTCAAACCCCTAAGAGCGGCAAATGCACGCATTTCCCAGCCAGTTAGCGTATTGGCTGGCCCGCTAGGCCGGGGGTGGGCAATTGCTTTGGTTCGAGGGCCACTTTGTGGTAGCGCATTTTAGCGTAGGACCGCACCGTTTAAAATAATTGTATTAAATATTAGACAAACTTTGGGTCGCGGACACGAAGCAAATCTCAGTTCAAGGCGGGGTTTCTGAATGTCTGGAGGGCCACAAAAAACTTTGTGGCGGGCCGCATGTGGCCCTCTGGCCGAACTTTGCCTAACCCTGGGATAGGCCAATGCGGAAATATCTCAAAATTGACAGCGTGTTTCATACATTAGCCGGCCGATTCACGAAACGGTCAGCATAACTCTGCTAATGCACTATCCGATTTATTTTAATTATATTGGTTGCGTTTTCATTGTTAGTAATGTATTGCTAGGCTTGTTTAAAAAAGGAAGTAATGTAAAGGGTCTTTGCCATTACCCCTTCTCCCAGTTACATGTTACTGAAAATACCTAATGTGTCGGTGGGCTTAAGAACGAGAGACTCTGATGGGTACTTGGCTAACGGTAGGGAAAACGGGAAAATAAAGGGAATTGGGAATACCACTGTTAACATTGTCAATTCATATTTCTACGTGCAAGAAGACACGATAAAGGTAGAAAACAGTTAAATCTGTATGTTAAACTATGTAGCCGAGTGCCGTCCTAACTTTTACTCTAAATAATTCAGCCTGAAATAGGCAAATAATTTTTTTCTACCTTATTGGCGCCCCCTAATTGTTAGCACTAGGTGGGCCACCCCTGTTCCCCCTACTTTCACGTCTGTCACTTGTATCCCTGGCAGTTTTTCAAAACTACATAGAATTCTCAGAAATCCATTACAATCAACGTTGTTCGAAGATGGATACAAGAACTGCAAAAATGTTCCTGGCTGTTTTGTTGCTGACCTGCGTGTCCTGTGCAGATGGTGAGTAAAAATCTAAAGAAATAACTATGTATGGAGTAAATAAATATATAAAAACATTGGTAGTCAATCTTCGAAAGTAAACGGATTTTCAATTAAATATACCTTATAAACCATAAAATTGAAAAATCATACAAATATTAATAATAAAAATATATATGTTTGTGTGTAATATTTATGGTGACCAGAAAGATGCGCAACGGAAAACTGCGAGTAGAATAATGCGCAAGTAGACAAAATGCGCAAACTTTATCATATAATTTTCAAAATTTAAATAATGTTTTTTATGACAATTTTTTTAGTTTATACTTAAACAAAAAAAAATTGTATTAATTCATGAATTCATGTTACACACCATAATTATTTCCTAATCTGATTAGACATTCTAACGTTTTACTACATTATATATTTTTTATATTGCAGCATTGTGTGCAGCGTACTCAAATCGGACAATTGAGCATGAGGATACACCTAACCTAGTAATCGATATATAAGAATTTCTCACTTTTTGCAAAGCAGTCACCTCCTATATTTACACGGGATTTATTATATTGTATTGCTCTCTGGCAAATAACTCCTTAAACATGGAATGTAACTCAATTAATAGAAACTGTCATTCCCTATAACTCTTTTAAGATTAAGTAGTGACGAAATTAATAGCGACTGCAAATACATATACCTCTGCTAGCCACTTGTCTTAGCTATCTTATCTTTTTTTTTATTAAATGCTGCATTTAGATTAGCTATATTTTGCTACAACAGTTTTTTGAACTCTCACAATATCGCTCCCTAGTAAAAATTCAACAATTTGTATATTATTTTAATTATTTCTCTGAACTAAGTGTAAATTTATGAATCTACAAACAAATTAAAGTTATGCTCATAGTCTTGTTAATTAGAAGTTTTTTTTTCCATTAAATACGGATTTATGTAATTTTTTCATTTTTACAAGCTTTTATTTAACTCACTTCCTCGTCAGTCGTCAGTCGTCAGTCTAGACGGAAAAGCAGGAGCGAAAATTCGGACAGTTCTACTTGACCGATACGATTCACAGTTGGCACGTGGGTCAAGACATGAAGACAATGCAATCTGAATCTAAATTTGACTTAATTGGATGCCTAATTAATTTTTTATGAATTAATTAAAATTTGGACCGAATTAGTAGGCATGTCTAGCCAACCACACCACACGCGTCATCACCTTCAATAGCTGCGCCATCACGTAATGGCTGCGTTCAAAAACAATTGCGCGCCTACTGAACGTGATGTTCAGTAGGCGCGCAATGGTGTTTAGTCATGTAACTCTATTGTAAATAAAACATGTAAAGTACTGAAAAAAAATTCATAAAAAACGTTTTAATAACAAGCTTTTATGTAATGATGCACTAAAAAGTAGAAAATAAATTATAGACTACTATTTAAATAACTATAAAGAAAAGCGTGGGTGTCTTTCTTAACATCAGTAAAGGTATCCAATAGATACTAAAGTGACCCACGCTTTTCTTTATAGTTATTTAAATAGTAGTCTATAATTTATTTAACTCACTTCCTCGTCAGTCTGTCGTCAGTCGTCAGTCTAGACGGAAACGCAGGAGTGAAAATTCGGACAGTTCTACTTGACCAACACGATTCACAGTTGGCACGTGGGTCAAGACATGAAGACAATGCAATCTGAAACTAAATTTGACTTAATTGGATGCCTAATTGATTTTTTATGAATTAATTAAAATTTGGACCGAATTAGTAGGCATGTCTAGCCAACCACACCACACGCGTCATCAATAGCTGCGCCATCACGACCACGTAATGGCTGCGTTCAAAAACCATTGCGCGTCTACTGAACGTGATATTCAGTAGGCGCGCAATGGTTTTTAGTCATGTAACTCTATTGTAGATAAAACATGTAAAGTACTGAAAAAAAAATTCATAAAAAACGTTTTAATAACAAGCTTTTATGTAATGATGCACTAAAAAGTAGAAAATAAATTATAGACTACTATTTAAATAACTATAAAGAAAAGCGTGGGTGTCTTCCTTAACATTAGTAAAGGTATCCAATAGATACTAAAGTGACCCACGCTTTTCTTTATAGTTATTTAAATAGTAGTCTATAATTTATTTTCTACTTTTTAGTGCATCATAACATAAAAGCTTGTTATTAAAACGTTTTTTATGAATTTTTTTTTTTAAATACAGGTAGCTTGCTATGAAAAATGTGCAGCAAATTATTTGTGCTACGCGTTCGTCTTTTTCCGTCATTGTGAACTATATATAAAAGACGTGGCAATACTCCAACTTGACGAAAATTCCAACCCTGACAACAAAGTCGCCTGTAGCAATAGATCAAGTACGTTATTTTGTTCTATTCTGTTTGTATGTGAAAAAATAATATATGTTGCTTTTTTATTTGATCAAACGCTAAGAAATTATATCATCTGAATAACTACATTTGTACAGTTTAAAATTATATCTTAACTCAAACTAATACTATAAGTTTTTCCTGTACTTAAATACGTACATTTATTTATACGCACTGTGGATTTCTTTTGTATACCCTATACTAATTTTAGATGAGTGTTATTATAAATGATTTTTTTAAGGTTCTTCAGCCGTGTGTGGTGCCTATATTAAATCAAAAATAATCAATCAGGCAGGCACGACTAAACACATGGTAAGACACGAAAAGTGTTATTGGTAGTTCGGAGCGCATGCAGGTTTTCCGGCCAGTTTATATATATATATATATATATATATATATATATATATATATATATATATATATATATATATATATATATATATATATATATATATATATATATATATATATATATATGGTGACTGGACAAATGATCTCAGGACAAATGATCTCAGGACAAATGATCTCAGGACAAATGATCTCAAGGACAAATGATGTCACGGACAAAAGATACCAGGACAAAATAAATCAGGACAAATGATACCACGGACAATTGATCTCAGACATAATATCTCAGACAAAATATCTCACACCAAATTTTAATAGAGTAGTTGATGATTTTAGCTGATCTGAATTTTTTTTTATTAATTGTCATATGGTTTTGTTTATTATGTTTTAATATTGTTTATAGGCCTATATAATAATTGTAAGAAATGTTTGCCGTATAAATTTGTCATATTGCACTAAACATTTTAAAGTTAGTATTAGTAATATAGTATACGAAGATTAAAGATTGTTTTTGATAGACAGCGTTTTTGTGAAACTTAGCACTCATATTTCACATCGAACAGCATACGGTTACACGTGTCAGGTGTGTCGTGGATAGGTTCCTTTCTTCCTTAACAAGTTTAGTCATCACAAGACGCCGACCATAAGATTACGGCATCTATTTTAGTTTCATATTTTAGTTATTGATCCTTTTCAGTTTTTGCTTTTTCAATAAGTTTTTTTTTTTAATTTCTAAAACAAATGCCATTGTCAAAAATATACTATGTTGGAAATTTGTTAAAATATTTTAAAAAGTATTGTTTCGAATTCGGTGTAGATTAATTTGATTTTCGCAGTGATTTCAAGTTTATGGTAAGCTTGATGAAAAAATAATAAATCCTATAAATATTTGGCTAATTAGTCTGTCCATTACGTGAGCATATATCACAGTGTAGGTTTTAATTCTCGTCTGTGCAAGACAGGTTTTGCTACTGTTTTTATTTTTAAATTGGTAAATATTTTATTTCATTTCTTAAGAAATAAACTAGGCAACACTTCTGCGATAGCATTTATACGCACTTCTAATGAAAATTTATTTAGTATTTGTTTTGATATTTAACTGCTATTATAGTAAATAATCATTTCACTTTTTTAAACTATACTATTTAGAGTAACTTTAAGATGATTTAAACTATAATGAAATTTTGAAAAATGTTAAAAAATTATATATATATATATACATATTACTATTATAACATTATATTTCCTAAATTTCCATCTAAAGGATTGCTTTGAGGCATGCGTTAGGACAAACAAGTGTTCTGGCTACAGTTATAATAAGTTAGATAAATCTTGCAAACTAAGGCTATTCACTCGCTATCCTGAAGACATTAATACCATAATTAATATGGCAAGTGTTTATTGCAATATGTAATACGTTCTGTGAACAAGTTGTATCCATCTCAATCAAATAAAAAATTTCAGTAGATTATCACCTATGTAGTTAACTAAACGAAAGTTTAGCTTAGAGTTTATGCACTTGTGTATTTAAAGTAGTCTGCTGTAGAAATAAAATATTTAAATTTGTTTTATACTGTTTGTTACATAGAAGGATATATGTTGATGATTGTTTGGGTTATTGGTTTTAAAAAGTAAAAAAAAAACAAAAAACACACAAAAACAGCCATAATTATTTGTATCTGTACATATGCTTGTAAATAGGTAACCACCACACATAATTCTATAATGTGATCAGGATGAATATATTTGCGTCAATAACGTGTTTATAACTTGTTTCATACTTTGTTGGGATTAGTTTATGGAATTGGTATGTCTGTCTGTTTGAGCGCTAGGGGTACGCTAGTTCTCTATACGTTCTTTTATTTGAGTTATTAAATCCCAACAAATATGTTTCTTTGATCTTAATTGTTATGACGCGGGTTTGTCCCCTCTACCGCCAGACGCTCCAAGGGTGCTGTATGAAAGCCATGAGTGTAAGTTAATCACCATCCATAACATTGAGTTAGAACACACCAAGGTAACGTTTAGATGTCAGGGGAGTAACGGGTTGCCCACGGGAGCAACCCATTACACTAACGCAGAGGCGTAGCGAGTGGGGGGGTACATATGTACCCGGGCGCCGACCTTAGGGGCGCCAAGATGGGTTGTAAAAACAAATTAAAATCTCATTTTAGCTGGTTTTGCATTATAAATATAAAAAATATATGGGGGAGTGGTGTGCATATGGAAAGTTTGAGGGGGGGGGGGGGTTGTGCAAATTGAAAGTTTGTCCCCGGGAGTCGGGAAGGGTCGCTAAGCCTCTGCACTAACGCAGGTGCGCAAGGTACGCACCCTAGTTCGTTTTGATAATCAAATGTCGTGTGCCACTGTTTCCACCTGGTATGGTGCTCCTAAAAATTGATGTAGGCGCCACAGTGCTCACTTTTTTTACGTACAATAACATCCCCGCAGGATCATTCACAGTTTTCACACGGTCGCGAACCTTCTGACCGTAGTTAGAACAATACTCAATGATGCAGTTTTTTAGCGTAAGTTTTGATCGTAGTTAGAACAATACTCAATGATGCAGTTTTTTAGCGTAAGTTTTGATCGTAGTTAGAACAATAATCAATGATGCAGTTTTTTGGCGTACGTTTTGATCGTAGTTAGAACAATACTTAATGATGCAGTTTTTTGGCGTACGTTTTGATCGTAGTTAGAACAATACTTAATGATGCAGTATCTGGTGTACGTTTTGTTTGCTATTTGGAAATGATTTGTTTGTAGTATTGACAGTAGTAGACAGTAATAGAACAGAAGGCATTAACAGTAAGGGACAATTTGGTCTTTATAGTAGCACTTGCATACATGACAACAGGCTTGCAGTTTTATTTTCCACAGTGGCGTCATTAGTCGGGTGACTCACGCTCTGATCCCATCACCACAACCCCTCACCCTGGTGACGACACTGTTTGTATTGTTGAGCTACCTGAGATCAATTTGTTGGTATAAGTAGTACCATGAGCTACCTCTATAATTATTTTGAGCTAGCTAATACAATGAGCTACCCGATAATCTATCCTCAAGAAATGGGGTCTAGACATGTGACATGGGGATTAACTAGAGCGAACTGAAATATACGTTGACTATCCGCGTGTGAGTGGACGAGGGCTGTTGTATAGTATGCGAGTAATGAAGATTAGGCATGACACGGGGATTAACTAATGTGGGATTAGAGATTTGTTGACGACCCGTATGTTGATGGAGCCGAACTGGATTAACAGACTAAACAAGGTTACAATAGCTGTGTAAACATGTGAGGTAACATGGCGGAGATGATTGCTCCCCTTACTTGTAGTAATATCTTTTGCTGAACCCTACTACTGATCTCATAACGAACGCTTCATTATGCATTATTTTAAATCTTTGAAATTATTTAAAAACAAAAAGACAGAAGTAATATATTAAACATATCACTTCTAATTGGCATACTCCTGACGCATACGTTCTTGCCAGAATTTCCCAGTTAAGTATAGAATGTGCGATGTACTCACTATATATAAAGCAAAACAGAGCGGAAAGGAACACATCCGAATTCTGAGAAGAATTTCTAGTGGTAAAACACTAGCCTTAATCATTAAAAAATACGTTGGTTGATTTTTCTCCCAATACTCTCAAAATGTATGGTTCATTCTAAATGGGAGGGAGTGGTCTAGCGGTAGAGAGCTGGACTGCTAACCCGTTAGTCTCGAGTTCGAATCCGGGTTCAAGTCAGCAGACCGTCCCTGAGTCCACCCAAGTCTGATGGGTACTTAACTCACGTTTGGGAAAGTAAAGGCGGCTGGGCATTGTGCTGACCATGCCGAGGTCACAGAAACAAGTAAACTCTACTTCACTTGCCCCATAGACCGTCAGGTTTGAAAGGGAAACTTTACTTTACTAGTTACTAAATCTGAAATTGTTTTTACATTTGGTTACAAACGTGGGATTTATTGTTTCCCCCGCTATTTTGATTGGCTAGTGAGTTACCACAGCCCGTATAACAACGCCGCGCACACCACTTGTGGTCGTGGCTACTGAAACAACTCGACGGTCTGCTCTGGTGAGTTTGTTTCTATAGGCTTGCTAGGCTTGAAAGTTTTACAACTTTAAGTAATAACACATTTCTTTGATTAGAGCAGGTACATGCTTTTATGTAATTACCTTCAAGTAAATGGATGTTTTAACTAAATTAATGACACGGGATTATCTCTTTATTGTATATATATATCTATATATCTATATATATATATATATATATATATATATATATATATATATATATATAATTTGAATTATGACAAAATCATATCCTGTGAATAGAGTTTTGCGTATACAAAGTTTTATTCAGTATAATATCTTACTTTGGGATAGTTTTTTGCTTGCCCAAGTAAAAATGTGAAGGTGTAATTGACCGTCAACACACAGGCCTACACTATAATTGAGTTGATATTGTAAAGGTTTTCTTAGATTAAACTACAATTAAACGACATAAACGCCAAATCATGGTTTCTCTCAGACAATTTCTCCGTAAAAGGGAACGAGCACTTGAAACTTCCAGTTAATTCGTGGGGGGAGGCTCTGATTGCGTTTTAGTATTTAGTAAGCTTTATACTATTTTCAATAAAATGATACACTTTTCTATTTTGTCCGGTTGGATGGAAGGGAGGGGGGTGAGTGGCTAAGGTTGTTGGGGGGGGGGGGGGGGGAGGCGGATACTTAAAAGAAACTCTGGGCCATATAAGTAAATACTGCAATGCTCCGAACTAGCTTCAAGCCCTGGCGGAAATGTAAGTTGATCTGATAAAGCAATTGCTGACATGTCCATTCTCACGTGCAGTAACTCTATCTATTGTAAACAAATTTCACACACAGAACACATTACAACCAGCATTGGTCAAAGATGGCGTCAACCACATCAAAAATATTCCTGGCGGTTTTGTTGCTGACATGCGTGTCCTGGACACAGGGTGAGTACATTAAAACAGCACAAAGTGAACATATTTATAGACTGACCATTTATAGACTGACCATTTATAGACTGACCATTTATAGTCAGTGGAATTTCGGACCAACAAAATTTTACCAATTCTTTTAGTGGAAATGCATATTCGGATGTACCTTTAAAAAGCTGTAGATAGAAAATTGCTTGCTCTCTAGTATTCAATTTTTTTTGCCGGAGCCTACTCCGTTAATGAAGAAATATGATCATTAAAAACATAATTTTTAAAGTATATGGTAATCTAAATATACGATCATTAAAAATTTATAACTATTTAAGTATATTTTTAATGAAGAAATATGATCATTGAAAATCATTATTCATAAAATATACTCAATAAAGAAATATGATCATTAAATATTCATAACTTACAAAGTATATGTTTAATGAATATATATATATATATATATATATATATATATATATATATATATATATATATATATATATATATATATATATATATATATATATATATAATTGCAGCCCAGTGCAAAGCTTATGACGAGGTTGATATTCTTTTCCGCAAAGCACCATCTAACAGGGTAATCCAAATGTCTAAAACAACCACAATTTTGTACCACAAAATATCAACTAATCAGGTCGTTCATTTGTAATGAAAGATCAAAATTTAAAACCATAATACAATCACTAACATGGTAATAAATATGCCATCAAGCTTCGAAACCACAACACACCTAAAAGGTAATACATATTATGCAATCAAGATTCGGAATAACAACACATCTAACAGGTAATGCATATTATGCCATCAAGATTCGCAATTGCAACACTCCTAACAGGTAATACATAAGGTTTCAAAGATGTAAACCATTACTAAGGTATGTCAGTAAATCTAGAAATAAATTCGTATTTTCTTTTAAATTGTATTGTGGAAACACATTTTTAGTTTAAAAGAACGATGATATATGGATCATTGAAGGTTTACCCTATGGAAATCAATTTGAAATTTGAACAGTTTATTCTCTCCACGTGCACCACGTCCACATACATGTAACGATATTGAAAGATGTCGTGGAGGAAGTGACACACACAAGGACGCATTATGGGGTGGTCATCTTGATAAGAATCGTAATTCGTGTAACTCAAGTTACTCGTGCTTATCTACGTCAAGCATATTTAATACTGCTAGCATTCACACTTTGGCTAGTGAATATTTAGCTTACTTAAAATTACGCCAACTAAACCGTGATCTTTTCGCCAGCTAATTAGAATACAAATTACACTTATATTCGTATACAAGAAATATATGTTTAAAATTAAATAATTTTTGCTTATTTATATTATGTCTAATTTTACAGCATTGCTCTTACCTATGTATCGATGAGTATAAATGTTTCTTCTATCAACATCACCGGGACGGTAGTTGCTACTTGTTTGTATCGGACGGAAAAGTGGTAAATGTAGACGAGAATGTATATCACGATAGCACTATAGCATGTAGAGATAGAAGCAGTACGTATTGTTGGATACTATAATTTTACAAAAACAAATAACTTATAGTGAATCCGTGTGATCACACGCCAAACAGCAACTTATCTGGGCGCCAAAGGACGCCCTGATTTGATTTAGTTAAGGACTATAGTAACCTTTCTTATCCATAGTCTACCACATTATTTAAAACGGACGTATGCAACATACATAAACATAGTGTACATTTAGGAGCGACTTCAAAACTGTTATTGATTTAAAATAATAATTAGTAAACAGTAGCCTACTTTCAGTGTATAAAATAAATAAGTCAGTAGTTAAAAATATCCGTGTTTTACCAACACAATTGCACTTTGTCAATCCATGCTAATTATATTTTTTTCCAACTCCAAAACAAGCTATTAAAATAGTATTTTTCCCCCAGATGTAATGGTTTATTTTATAGGAGAATAATACTATTTTGTGATCTATCAATTGAAGTAATTTGCAATAAACGTAAAAAGTGAAGTAATGTGTACACTTTGTACACTTTTGTGAATACCTATACATTTTCTTTGACTTTGTTTAATCTACATGACGTTAATTAAAATGATTCGCATGAAAAGTGAAACTTTTTTAAAAACTATTTATCTTAGTGTGAGATAATCTATCCTGAAATTTGTATTCACTACACAAACCCACGCACAAAATCACCCACGTACGCAAGCACAAACAAATACTACATATTCATATTATAATATATATATATATATATATATATATATATATATATATATATATATATATATATATATATATGTATATATATATATATATATATATATATATATATATATATACACACATATATATATATATATATATATATATATATATATATATATATATATATATATATATATATATATATATATATATATATATATATATATATATATATATATATATATGAAGGGCTCAGTGGAAAAAGTACTTAAGTTACATTTTTTTTAAAATTGGGTTAAGACCGGTATATTATGTGAATACCTGCCCTTAACCATCCCTGTAAATTTGGGCCATGGAAAAAGTCCCGAAGTAGCTTAATTCGAATACTATACATCAGCTGTTTTGGTATTTCAGCTTCAATTTAAAAACTTTGCACTCATTTTTCTCAAAACTCTCAAAATACACTTAAGTACTTTTTCCACTGAGCCCTTCATATATATATATATATATATATATATATATATATATATATATATATATATATATATATATATATATATATATATATATATATATATGTATATATGTAATTTATATTGCTATATTAATAATATGTAGGTTATATGCTATTAAACATAGTTCCAAATATTAAATCATTCTATAGGATGTGCTGGTTATTGTGAAGATTTTAACTTTCCCGTGGAAGTAAAAAATCACAAGGTAATTTCATTATTTAAAAACTCTTTTATACATGCAGTAATAAGTGAAACGGATAATGCGATATAAAAGTATGATAAAAGGATAATTCACTTTAGTCTATATTACTCAAGGTGTAGAAATAAAAGGGCCTACAAATTAATATTAGCTATTTACACAGTACAGTTGCACCTCGACATAAGAGATTTTTAAAATATTAGCATTCAAGGGAGGAAGAGACAAACCTCCTTTACATGTTTTGTTTTAACCGCATCACGTGAACATGAGTGAAGTTTTGCGGAAAAGGCAAAGGACAGTGAAGAAAAAAGCAGTCAAGAAAATTATGCTTAGACCATAATATAAAAATACAAGGGCAATTAGCATTTGAGTTCAATTATGTTAATGAAGTGGTTTTTAGCTAATTTACATCAACTTTTGGGATAAAGTGTAGCACAAAGTGTGTAGCGAGCACATTAATTAAAGTGTAAAGAACAAGTTAACAAAGCAAAGCCCCTCTGCGTATCTCCTCCCCAAACCCCCCGTTTTTCGTATTAGAAACACTAACAAACTGGGACGGCAGTGTTGGGTAGGAACAGATTAATTAATGGCATACGGATTAATTTCAGAGGAGAAAATTTGTCTGGCAACCGAGCGGAATGAATTAAGTTCGTATTTCGAGGTAACACTGTAGTTTACTTATCCAACCGGTATACACATTTCGTTTAGAGACTGAAATATTGTAAAACAATGTATATAAGCGCTTAATTCCTTACTCGTATAATTTATTTGTAGGCTTTATCATATTATTTAAAAGCATATGGACAGCGTGGTCGAATGGTAGAGTATTGACTGCTATCTCAAAGTTTCTAGTTCGGACTCTGGGATCGAGTACGTAAGGCGTCCCTTAGGCCGGCCAGCTCTGATAGATACTTGATTCACGTTAGTGAGAGTAAAGGCAATGTTTCATTCCAATGCTCTTGATCAGTAAAATGTTAATTTTTCTAAGTTTCAGATAATGATTTTTTTAAAAACTGAATTACAATTAATTTCATTACTCACTTTTCATCGGTATATACATTTTCTTCATGCATCTCTACCGTTTCTTCCCCTTTCACCTCCGAACGAAATTGAAAAAAGTAATTCATATATAAATATAGAAAAACCATTATCCGCTAACCTCCCCCCCCCCACCCCCCCCCCCCCGCACACACAACCCCAAACCCTCCTTAGGACAGTTTTAAATGCCGCTTCCCGGAGATAAATATCTAAAAGAAAAACCGGGTAGCCTATTTGTAAATAGAAGAGAGCTAAAAGTCACCAAAATTGCCCGTGTAAAGGTTACCGATGGCTAGTCACTATATAAGCCGAAGACACTAAAACCAGTGGACTATATTTCACGTACCCCTGCGCCGTAACATTTGAAATAGTACATTAATTATTAATTTATTTATAAACTAGGTTTATTTTGTTATTTTTTTGTAATCTGATAATCATATCAGTTAATGATATAAAAATAAATTAACACGTAACGAGTGACTTGTATCCTTTTATATCCTTTCAACAAAGTTTTATATATTACTTGTAAAATCTGAGTTATTAAAAATAGGATAAAACCGTTAAGAATTGACGTGTTAAGGATTATAATATTTAAGCTAGACCTGTTTAGGATAACGGAGTTTTGATAAAGATCCGGCACACAAAGTGGTGACTGGTGGATGCGATTGGTGGATTGATGGCGCAGGAGTTTTAGCTTGAGGGATGGAGTTAGGTTGATGAGGGATTGGCAGTTGGGTGGTGGGGAGGGTGGCAGTTGGGTAGTGGAGAAGGTAGCAGTTGGGTTGATGAGGGGTTGGCAGTTGGGTGGTGGGGAGGGTGGCAGTTGGGTAGTGGAGAAGGTAGCAGTTGGGTTGATGAGGGGTTGGCAGTTGGGTGGTGGAGAGGGTGGCAGTTGGGTTGATGAGGGGTTGGCAGTTGAGAAGTGGAGAGGGTGGCAGTTGGGTGGTGGAGAGGGTGGCAGTTGGGTTGATGAGGGGTTGGCAGTTGGGTAGTGGAGAAGGTAGCAGTTGGGTTGATGAGGGGTTGGCAGTTGGGTGGTGGAGAAGGTAGCAGTTGGGTTGATGAGGGGTTGGCAGTTGGGTGGTGGAGAAGGTAGCAGTTGGGTTGATGAGGGGTTGGCAGTTGGGTGGTGGAGAGGGTGGCAGTTGGGTTGATGAGGGGTTGGCAGTTGGGTGGTGGAGAAGGTAGCAGTTGGGTTGATGAGGGGTTGGCAGTTGGGTGGTGGATAAGGTAGCAGTTGGGTTGATGAGGGGTTGGCAGTTGGGTGGTGGAGAAGGTAGCAGTTGGGTTGATGAGGGGTTGGCAGTTGGGTGGTGGAGAAGGTAGCAGTTGGGTGGTGGAGAAGGTAGCAGTTGGGTTGATGAGGGGTTGGCAGTTGGGTGGTGGAGAAGGTAGCAGTTGGGTTGATGAGGGGTTGGCAGTTGGGTTGATGAGGGGTTGGCAGTTGGGTTGATGAGGGGTTGGCAGTTGGGTGGTGGAGAAGGTAGCAGTTGGGTTGATGAGGGGTTGGCAGTTGGGTGGTGGAGAAGGTAGCAGTTGGGTTGATGAGGGGTTGGCAGTTGGGTGGTGGAGAAAGTAGCAGTTGGGTTGATGAGAGGTTGGCAGTTGGGTAGTGGAGAATGTAGCAGTTGGGTTGATGAGGGTGCGGAAATCTGGTTAGGGAGGGGTGATTGTTGATTTGGGGAGAGGGGCGGCAGTTGGATTGGGGAGAGGGTGGTTAATGGGTTGGTGAGAGGGTGGTTGCTAGGTTGGTGAGAGGATGGTTGTTAAGATGGGAGAGGGTGGTTGTTTGGTTGGGAGAGGGTGGTTGCTGGGTTGGGAGAGGGTGGTTGTTGGGTTGGGAGAGGGTGGTTGCTTGGTTGGGAGAGGGTGGTTGCTGGGTTGGTGAGAGGGTGGTTGCTTGGTTGGGAGAGGGTGGTTGCTGGGTTGGGAGAGGGTGGTTGCTGGGTTGGGAGAGGGTGGTTGCTGTGTATGATTGCTTGGACCGGCTTGGCTCAGAAGTTCCAACGTTAAATCGGGTAGACTTCAGAGCATGATGCGTTAAATTATGACCTTATATAAACCAAATCAAGCAAGTGGATTTATTAGAAATCTGAAGTGTTTAAAATGCGATTAATCTGGTTTATACATTAAAAAATTAATCAGAAACTTAAAAATCCTTCTATGTTATGAATTATTGATCAGCGCATTATGAACATATTTTTTTTTAAATTAATTATAATGATCATTTTTTTCTTTCAAAATATTTGCTTTGGCAAAATTATTATTGTCTATGTTTACAATATTTTATGAAACATATTACAACACTTTCCCCCCGTGGTGTATTTATTTGGAAAAAAAAGTTACATAAGCATTGAGTGCTTAAGATGTCTTAAGATGTCTTTCTCTGTATAGCTTAAACAGGATTATTTTTGGGAGAAATGTAACATTTAAAATGTACTAAATGCATAGTTATATCAAATTTCTTATTCCTGAATGAGATTTTTTATTTGGCACCTATTTTTAATATTATGATTTCATTTTTAAACATCCTTCATAAACTTATATCAAATGTTCATAGGTGTCTTAAGTGCCTGTAAAAATGTAACTAAATAAATATATTTTACCGCATTTCTTCCTTTACTTCTACTTGAAGGAGTGCTTTACGACCTGCCTCAATACAAAGAGATGTTGGAACTATGTCTTCGACCCATCCGATGGTTCTTGTCTGATCCGAACTAAAGGCGGACTTCCAACCAACCATGATTATAATGTTAACAACAACTTTTGGTCACACGTTGCTTGTAATTACTAAGCAGCGTTTCTTTCAGGCATATTCCACGGAACAAGATATACATTTACAGCGTTCTCTACCGACATCCCCCCCCCTCCCTCACCGAAAATTTGAGTGAGCCACTCCCCCTTTCGAGCAGAATGTTCCGAACGAAACATTATGTATAACTAGTTTATACATTTTTTCCATAACAAAATTATGCTTTAGATCAGTAGATTAATACCATTTAGCACATCTTTATCACTAATTTTAGTTTCGTTTAAGGTGTTCATTGTTTTTCAAGTGCTTTTTATTTTGGCTACATTAGGAAATACAAAATCAATGTAAGCATATTTTAAATTGCCTTTTAAAAAATTAAAGTATTAATTCAACTTTAAACTAAATATACTATAAAAGATACACAACAAATATAAGTGAATCCGATATAAATGATGCGAATTTTCATGATCTTGTATTTGATATAGCTTGTATTTCTGGGTTTATTTTCGTAAATTAGAAAATCACTTTGCAAATATTTTGGTCATTGTTGGATTAATTTGTAGTCTACTGATTTGAGTTTTACCCCTCTGTATAAACAAATCCTTCCAAAAGATTACAAGCTCTCATAAAAATAAATTACTTTATTTTAATTTCTGTTTGTTGCTCTCGTCTCTTGTAATAGATTGTGTTACGTTGGTGTGGCTCTATATGCATACAAACAAAATTAAACAAATGGCCTATAATACATATATATATATATATATATATATATATATATATATATATATATATATATATATATGTATATATATATATGTATATATATATATATATATGTATATATATAAATATATGTATATATAAATATATGTATATATACATATATATATATATATATAAATATACATATATATATGTATATATATATATATATATATATATATATATATATATATATATATATATATATATATATATATATATATATTTTTCTGCATTATTCTCTAAGATAAGCAGAGCATGCGATGTCATTTTACATTTACATAACCAGAACATTTCTATAATACACATTATTTAATTTGAGCAGGATATTTTACTATAACAAAATACAACATAATGTTGCAAAATGTCGCTTTGTTGTATTTTGCTTTTGTTTGTTTTTCTTTTTAAATAGTGATAAAACAATGTTTTTAAAACCAACGATCCATTTTAATTTACATTGAGTATACATTTTTATTCTGAACAAATCTTTCTTAAAACGTCTACAGCAAAGTGTTGTTTTTTTTAACAGTCCAAGTTCGATAAAAATCCAAACAGATGGGCAAAGTCCTTTTGAAAAAGGGCATGGCCTCAAACGACATAAGGGCAAGCGTGTTTAAGACTAACCCTTTGGCTCCCAACAGTCAATTACCGTAGCTGCTCAATAGTTGAGTTATGCCCCCTAACCTTTTCTCAGGCTAGTGTTGACTGATGTTCTACTAGCTGTATACACAAGATTCAGATGAGGTCCTGTAGAAAGATTAAATACACGTAAAATGTTTAAGTGTTTGTTGGGTCCAAAATTTAGTGGAAACGGGTCAAAGAGAAAGAAAAATTCGACATGACAATAATAGACTATGCCGACCTAGGTTGTTAGAGCCAGTGGGGAAAATTTGTCTTCTTCTGCGTTCTTAATTTTAGCGTTGTCCAAGAACAAACTAAAAGGCAGCAGATGTTTGATTTTTGAGTTGTCTCTCCTAGAAGAGTGGCTGTCCCCAGCTAACGAGCCTCATCTGCACGAGGGTTCTGACTCATGGTTATCCCTGCAGCTCACTCCCCACCATGGTGACGACACTGTTGTTGAGCTAACTGATGTAATTTTGTTGGTAACTATATCAATTTTTGCGATAACTAATACAATGAGCTACCTGATAATCTATCCCCTACTAACGCAGAATAGACATGTGACATAGGGATTAGTTAGCGCGAGATTAAATATTCTTTGGCTACCCGCATGTAAGGGGAGCAGAGCTGTTGTATAGTAAGCGAGTAATGAAAATTAGGCATGATACGGGGATTAACGAATGTGGGATTAGAGATTTGTTGACGACCCGTATGTAGATGGAGCCGAAATGGATTAACACAGACTAAACCAGGTTACAATAGCTGTGTAAACATGTGAGGTAACATGCCGGAGATGATTGCTCCCCTTACTTGTAGTGACTGTAATATCTTTTGCTGAACCCTACAACTGATCTCATAACGAACGCTTCATTATGCATTATTTTAAATCTTTGAAACATATTTAAAAACAAAAAGACAGAAGTAATGTAATAAACATATCACTTCTAATTGGCATACTCCTGACGCATACGTTCTTGTCAGAATTTCCCAGTTAAGTATAGAGTGAGAAGAACTCCCCATATATGAAGCAAAACAAAGCGAAAAGGAAAAGAACCACATTCTGAGAAGATTTTCTAGTGATAAAACACTAGCCTCAATCATGGAAAAATACGTTGGTTGATTTTTTTCCCAATACTCTAAAAAATTATGTTTTATTCTAGTCACTAAATCCGAAATTGTCTAAAACTTTGGATACACATGTGGGATTTATTCTGTTTCTACCGCGTGTTTTGATTGGCTAATGAGTTCATACATCCCGTATAAAAACGCCGCGCACACCACTTGTGGTCAAGGTTGCTGAAACAACTTGATCGTCTACTCTGGTGAGTTTATTTCTATAGGAAGGCTTGCTAGGCTTGAAAATTGTACAACTCACGTAATAACACAATTTTTGTTTAGAGTTTAAAGGCTGGTATAAGCTGTTATGTAATTTCTGTCAAGTTAAATGGATGTTAGGGCAATGCAAATAAATTAATGACGTAGGCCAACCTCTTTATTACCTTTATATATATATATATATATATATATATATATATATATATATATATATATATATATATATATATATATATATATATATATATAAGCTGTATTCAAAATACTGAATTATTACAATATCATATCAAGTGAATAGAGTTTTGCATATACAAAGTTTTTTTTCAGTATTTCTTACTTCTTTTGGGATAGTTTTTTAAACAAGGATGTGAAAAAGTAAAAGACATTCTAATTGAGTTGATATTGTAAAGGTTTCTTAGTTCCAAGTACAAGTAAACGACATGAAAGCAAAATCAGGGTTTCTTTTATATATTTTTCTCCTTAGAAAGGAACGAGCACTTCAAACTTCCGGTTAATTCGGTGGAGAGGGGGCTGAACGCGTTTAATTATGCTATATAATATTTTCAATAAAAATAATGCAATTTTCTCTGGCTCGATGGGGGAGGGGGGAGTGGCTAAAGTTCTTTGGCGGGGGGGGGGTGCATGAAAGAAACTCCAAGCCAAATTAACTAATTAAGCAAATCCCGCAATGCTCTGAACTAGCTTCAAACCCTGGCGGAAATGTAAGTTGATCTGATAAAGCCATTCCTGACATGTCCATGCTCACGTGCAGTAACTCTAGCTATTGTAAACAAATTTCACTCACAGAATACATTACAACCAGCATTGGTCAAAGATGACGTCAACCACATCAAAAATATTCCTGGCGGTTTTGTTGCTGACCTGCGTGTCCCGTGCCCAGGGTGAGTACATTTAACCCTTTATCTACTGACGGTACTTATAAGTACCACTTTAACTAAATGCCTGTATTATTTTTAATTTAATACGAATTTTTAAAATTATTGAAGTAATTAATAGTATTATCTCCCCTGAGTCGTCGGTAGTCGTCGGTATCATTGTTTTTGAAAATTACTGGTGTGGCGCCATTTTCAATGTCTTGCTATATCGGTAGTTCACAATTTTTCTGTACATTTCTCACATACGTTCTTGATTTCCCTTTGTTTTACCTTATTTTTCAAGTTTTCAACCCCAAATATTTTTTATTGGCAACTTCAATAGTCAGGCAAACGCATTTAACTTCTAGTTATACAATTTTAATCAAATTGTCTTTGTATTAGATCGATGTTTACAAGTGGACTTATAAGTACCGTCAGGGCACACGGTCATTTTTTAAAGATTTTTAGAAAATGGCAGATTTTTTATGTGGAGTTACATAAATATTGTCTTGATAATTAATTATCGAAATGTACTCAAAAAATTATATTTACACATTTATAAGAAGTTTAGCATATGGTTTATCTAAGAAGTATTGTAATTACATGTTAATTTCTAGAAGTAAAAAATTAACAAGAATAAAGGTATCAGTTGCAGGCTCGTTTACAAGGTTTAGTTTACTTCATTTGTATACCAAAGCCTAGTTCTAGTTGTAAGATTTAATTTGTTAGTTATATTTAGTGCACTAAACTGTCTTGCCTACAACAACTAGCATTTACGTAATGTATACCTGTAGACTAGTAATAGTCCATACTTCTGCATATAGTATTGATCTATATGGTAAATTTTAATCAGTAAACAGAAAGGAGTAGGTCACTAGGGCTATCCTAAACACATTGAGCTCACTTCTATTTATGAACTTTGCACTGTAGTGTAGACTTGTCATAACATTCTAGTAGGCTACAACTATACTAGTATTACTTGTAGTTGCGTGCTGAATGACTAGGCTTTTGTTTGTTAATGCGGCTCATTGTACTAGCTATTGGAAGCTTCCAGCAAAATCATGTTCTTTCCGGCAACCGTTGCTACACCAGAAAGACCACAGACAAGATTGAAGGAGCATGACATGTCGACTACTTTTGCTGTGTTTGAGGTCTAAGATGTGTTCCGATAGAAAATCCAGTAAAAATCGTACTCAAAATATACTTTTGTGCTGTATTTATGTGTGAAAATTACAAAAAGTGATTGTTATAATGATTGCCATGTTATTAGTTAATAAATTGTATCGTTTGTTCCTGTTTTGTAAAAAAAAAATTTTGAAAAAAAAATGTCCTAGTTTACTGACGGTACTTATAAGTACCAATATCTGTTTGGGCCATTAAAAATTTATGAAACGAAATTTCCTTCGATATATGCTTTGAATGTGCCAAAAGCAATATAGTAACACAGTGTTTAAGTAAAAATCTCATTCAGAACATAATTCCGTAAATAAAGGGTAAAGTAGCCTATAGATATCATGATTACGTAAAAATGATAATTAGACGAATAAACAATACTATGTTTATATAGTGATCTCCCCTAAACTTTCTCGAATATTCTAATATAACTTTGAATATAGACATGATTTTTAATTACTTAAACTTTAAAAATAGAATAGAATCTCATAGAAAAAGAATTGCGCACCAAGCGAACGCCAAAACAAAATGTGCATAATAGTGCGCAATATTATTAGTACTTTATAAATTTACATGCGCGTTTTGAGAAATCGGAAATAGCATAAATTAGTACTTCCGGTCAACGGAAATTACTCAAAATTTGACAGATGGTAGAGAATTAGATCTTTTACTTACATGTGAAATTTCATTCATCTGTCTGAAATAGTACTCAAGTTATAGGCTTTTGAAAAATTCAAAGTAGAAAAATGACCATTTCCGGTGATCGGAAATCGCTCACAAGTTGATACGTATCTACAATTTTGATAAAATACTTATATATGAAAATTCATTAACCTAGCTGTAACGGTACCCAAGTTATCGTGTTTACACACATACACACACACAGACATACGGACAAGATTGCAAAATTATGTTTTTCTGTATCAGTGAGATGTAAAACGTCGAGATTTGTAAAAAATCTCGATTTTTGTTTGCACGATTACAACACTTTCTCTATACTTCGAATATACGAGAAAGTAAAAACACAATTCATAAACTATATGTGTAATGAAGTAATATGATCATTTTAATGATTACTCATATATTTATATAAGAATATATTTTTGCTGACAAAATGTGATCGTTAAAAACTTATAACTCATAAAATATATTTTTACCGAAGAAAAATGATAATTAAAAACGTATAACTCATAAAGTATATATTTTTACAGCCCAGTGTGAAGCTTATGACAACATAGATCTTATTATCCTCAACGAACCAACTAACAGGGTAAGACACATGTCTTAATTGACCAAAATTTTGTACCACATACAATCAACTAACAGGGTCATACACATATCTTAATGGACCAACATTTTGTACCACATACTATCAACAGGGTAATACACAAGTCTTTATCAACAAAATTTTGTACCACATACAATCAACTAACAGGGTAATTCATTTGTACTGAACGATCGAAATTTATAACCACAATACAATTTAAAATATAGTAAAATGCCATCAACAATCGGAACTACAACACACGTAAAAGGTTATACAAATGGTTTCGAATATGTACGTCATTACTAATGTCATTGCTTTTTTTAATCGTATTTTCTTGTAAATTGTATTGTGGAAACACATAGTAAGTTTTACAGAACCATGATAGATGGATCATTGAAGGTTTACCCTTTTAAAATCAATTTGAAAATTTGAACAGTTTATTCTCTCAACATGCACAAAGTCCACACCCATATAACGATGTTAAGGTTAAATAATTATTTGCTTATTTATATTATTTCCTCTTTTTTTAACCACAGCATTGCTATTGGAGATGTATCGGTGAATATAAATGTTTCTTCTATCAATATCATGAGGGCGGTACTTGTTACTTATTTGTATCGGACGGGGATGTGGTGAATTTGGACGAAAATGTATATCACGATAGCACTATAGCCTGTATATATAGAAGCAGTACGTATAATTTTTATACTATTATTTAACAAAAAAAAGGGTGGGGGGGGGGGGGGGAATCCGTGTGATCACACGTTAACCAAGTATTTTAATAAAAGATTGCTTGCACTTTTTAAAAAGATTCTTCTTCTTCGTTCTTAGTTTTATGCGTTGAAAGTGATCGAGTATGATTTGCAAGATCGAGAATTTTAACAACCGCGAGCTTTTGCCGACTCGACCACGCCTACAACACAATTGATTATACGTGTCAACTGGTTATACGCCATTCAGGCCAATGACTCCGATTTTATGCAGCTTTTCTTTTTGGATTTGCTTCCATAGCCTTTGTCCAAAAGATTATTACTAATAAAATATATATATATATATATATATATATATATATATATATATATATATATATATATATATATATATATATATATATATATATATATACTAGCCAGGCCGTGCACTGGCCTCTGAAAAAAACCTAACTGTAAAGGACCATGAATTGTATGTTTATTAAGCAGCATATAGCGGCATGGACGTTTGATAAAAAAATACACGTAAGCCTAAACTCAACTCTAACTTAAAACTTGACACTAACACATCCAACCAAAACCAAAACAAAAACATAAAAACAAACGCCAACGTAACACACACGCAAACGAAAATGCAAACTCTAACTCAAAACACAAAAACAAACACAAACGCAAATTCAAACTCAAACACAAACAAAAACGTAAATACAAGTAATCTAATAAAAGGTTGCATGCACTTTTTCAAAAAATTATTAATATTTACGAGTACCTGTACCTGACCTGATGCTTTATATATGTTTCTGCGACACTACATGTGCCAGAATCTGGCACAGTTTAAGCCTGACCACGATATGATTGTTACTGTCATTTTTAAACTTTACAAAGAAATGCCATTTTTGTACACTCCGTTTAGAAATACCCTCGTTGTACATTCTTCATATAAATGACTTTTTTTTACAGTTTGTATATAAATGCTTTTATTGTTCACGACTAAATGGCGCCTGGTCATAAACTAGTGTAGTAATTCTCTTTCTTGAGGCATTGTTTGAACTTTATTGCTTAGCTTGTATCTTCAGCAGCATAATAGCGCACTTTTTGTACCTGTAGTGTAATGGTTGTTTCAAAACTGATAGTTTCTTATAATTTAGGTTAATAATTGTTTCGCTATCGTTAGATCCTGGCACCTGTTACGTAATGATTGTTTCGCTGCCGTTTCTTTCATATACTTTAGTAAATTGATTGTTTCACAAATGGTAGTTTCATCTACTTTAGTGTAATGATTTTTTTTTACTACTGTTAGTCTTTTCTACCTGTAATAATAATTCTTTAACTACCATCAGTGTCTGTCACTAGCAACGTAATAATTGATGCTCAACCCAAATGCCTACTCTGTTTGTCGCAATACAATTATATATATATATATATATATATATATATATATATATATATATATATATATATATATATATATATATATATATATATATATATATATATATATATATATAGAGAGAGAGAGAGAGAGAGAGAGAGATATAGAAATATATATATATATATATATATATATATATAGATAGATATATGTAATGTATGTTTTTTTAAGTCAAATACTCTGATATGCGTTGTTAATTATAGTATCAAATATTGATATAAAAACAAAAACCACTGAATTTAATTTGTATGTAGTCATTGGGGGTGGGAAGGGGGACATTTCGCGGAATTAGCTGTTCAATATTCAGAGCGTTCAGAGCTATTTATTTTAGTTTGAGATAATTTGTTCTGAAATTTTTATTCACCACGCACACCCACACAAAACACACACATAAACCTCCACATGCGCACGCGTAAGCACATATACATACATAAATATTCATTATATATCTATTATATGTTTATGTATTATTTATATTACTTTATAAATAATATGTAGGTTGTATGCTATTAAAAATAATACCAAATATTAAATCTTCCTTTAGGATGTGATGCTTATAGTGAAGATTTCAACTTTCCTGTGCAAGCGAACAATCACATGGTAATTCTATTATTCAAACACTATAGCATGCTTTTACAAACGCAATAATAAGCGAAACACATAAAGGGATTTACTTATGAAAAAAAATATGATACAAAAAATATTAAGAAAAGCTTATAAGGTATATAGTCTATATATTCCACGAAACAGCCCCCTCTTACTTATCAGATCTATTTACTTTTAACATAAAATTAAATCGTCGTCTTAATTTACCATTCCCATATTCAACTTTTTTCCAAAAACATAGCTTCGCCTACTCTGGTTTTATTTGTGGAACAATCTTCCTAATAAAATAAAGCTATCTAGATCTGAAAATATATTCAAATCTAAACTAAAACTAAAATTATTTAATGACCTGACTCATTGTAACATTTCTCATTCATCTATTATATTCTCTTTTTTATCTCATTATGTATGATAACTATGTAACATTGTTTCTTTATTCCACATTTTTAGTGCTATGTTACTGCTATGTGTTATTGAATTGTTTTATTTGTTTAAACGGCCAATGTGAAAAAAGGCCTTTGTGCCTACAGTTGTAACCGTTGTTTGAATAAATTTGTAAACCTAAGACATCTGTAGAAATAAAAGGGCCTGCAAATTAATATTAGATATTTACAAAGTACAGTTTTACCTCAACGTACGAGATTTTAAAAATATTAGGGCAAGTGTCTTCCACAAGAACGTTCTGCTCCAGGTTGTTATATACTTGGATATTTTATGAAACGCCTACAACACTTTTCCAATAAAGGCTATTCATTTGGAAACAGTTACATAAGCATTCGGAGTTTTTATTCGAATATATTACACATTTTAAAAAATGTACTTAAGGCAAAATGATATCACATTTCATACTGCTTACTGAGAAATTTGATTTGGTATCTGTTTTTAATATGATGATTTAATTTTGTTAAACAACCTTTATAAACTTACATCAAATGTGTACTATTTTCACAGATGTCCTAAATGTGTATATTAAAAAAGGCTGCAAAGTAACTAAATAAATATATTTTACTGCATTTCTTCCTTTACTTGTACCTTAAGGAGTGTTTTATGACCTGCCTCCATAAGAAGAGATGTTGGAGCTATGTCTACGACCCATCTGATGTTTCTTGTCTGCTCCGGACCAAAGGCGGACGTAGCAGTGACATTGATTATACTTATGGCCATGACTTTTATTCACATGTTGTTTGTAATTTGTAATTTTAGTGTTTCTTTTAGGGGAACAATAATTTTATTTTATCTCTCTTGAAAATATATATACCTTTACTGAGTTTTCTACTCAACAATTCCCCCTCACCCGGAAGCGACACCCTACCGAGAAAAATATCTGAATTAAACAACGTGTGAAACTAGTTTATACAAAGTTGTATTCATCAAATCTTTTAAATCAGTAGATTCATAAAATTTACAAATTTTAGATTAGTATCTCAAAATGCTTTCAAAGTTTTTCAAGTTTTTTTTTTTATTTTGGCTTCTGTAATAAAAATATTTAAAAAATTGAACATATTTTAAATTGTTATTTAATAAATGTAATAAAAGCAACTCTAAATTAGATAAATTATAATAGATTCACACAAGTATATTTGCATGAGTTTGAATATGGATAAAAACAATAATCACACTTATATGGATGTACTACTCTGTTAGGAAAATCTGTGAACAATTACTTTTCCATCAACAATCGCAATTTTATGGGATTTAATCATGTATTGGGTCAAGTTGAAATCCGATTTAAATGGTGTGATTTTATCATGATCTTGTATTTGATAGTTCTTCTATTTCTCGGTTTGTTTTCATAAATTGATTACTCACTTTGCAAATATTTTGGTAATTGTTGGGTTAATTTGTAGTCTATTGATTTGAGTTTTACCCCTCTGTATAAACAACTGCTTCCAAAAGATTACACGCTCTCATAAAAATAAACTACTTTATTTTAATTTCTGTGTGTTGCTATCGTCTCTTGTAATAGGTTGTGTTACGTTGGTGTGGCTCTATATGCATACAAACAAATACGACCACACTCCCGACGATATACAGCTCATGTATATATATATATATTTTTTTTTTTCTTTCACGTAACAGCGTTTGTTAGCTACTGTATAACTTCGCTACTGTAGTAGATCTGTTTGTTATTTACAAAACCACTATCAAGTTGCCAGTGGCGAAACTAAAAAAATAAAACCGAAATTATTATTATTATATTATTTTTTATTATTTGTATAGGATAGTACAGAATAGTAGTTTTACCAATACAAAAACGTACATTTTACATTGTAAAATCACAATGAGGGTCCCTTTCCAACTCTATAAAGAAGCAAAACTCACCATATTATCTAGCGACCTCTCGCGCAATGGACTTTGATTTTTTTTTCAAAAGAATTTTGCCGACAAGAGCGTGTATTTGATTGTCCGTAGCTACAATATTCTTTTTACAAAAACGTCAAGTAAAAAATGCAAGAAAATTATTTTTTTAACTATACAAAATCGCTCATGGTCGGCTGTGGGCCCCTAAACGGCGTGAGCACCCACCGCATTGCGGGGTCTGGCGGCACTGTAGTTCCGCCCCTGATATGAGCATATGAAAGGATGTACAGAAAAGAACATAAAAGCATACAATTGAATGTTGAAAACGAAAGGATACATGAACATATTTTATAATGGTTGAGTCTCTTCAGATGGGCTGTAATGTTCTGTTTCGACATATATATATATACCTATAAAAACATAAGGCGTTATAACATTTATGTCTAATTTTGTGTATGTGTGAAAAACAACCATTTCTGTTGACAGTTGACTTGTGTTGACGGGGATGGGGGCGAACTAAATTTTCCATGCGTGGGGGGGGGGGGGGAGGGGGAGACTGGTAAAAGTAATCGTACACGCTACTTGTTTGCTATTGTTTCTATTACTGTTTGTTGCAAATTCTTCAATTTAAGTTTCAAGATTCCAGAATAGAAATCTCACACTTACTACTAATACCACTGTACCACACCTTGAATGTTTACACGTGTAATGTATGTCATAAAAGTAAATTAAAAACTTTCTCATTAATATTTTTTTGTATATAGTAAAAGCAACTGTCAATTGGCAACCTAAAATATAAACCTAGTGGTTTTGGCTTTTTTTCTTCAATAGCATTAAAATTTAGTGAAGTCAATAACAGAAGAGAAGGTAACAGGCTTGCAGTGTTTAATATGTACACAGTGGCGTCACTAGGGCAAGTGACTCATGGTCAGATACCCGCAGCTCACTCCCCACCCTGGTGACGACACTGTAGTTGAGCTGCCTTATATCATTGTGTAGGTACCTATATCATTTTTTTTGCAATAACTAATACAATGAGCTACCTGATAATCAATCCCCTACTAACGCAGAATAGACATGTGACATAGGGATTAGTTAGCGCGAGATTAAATATTCTTTGGCTACCCGCATGTAAGGGGAGCAGAGCTGTTGTATAGTATGAGTAATGAAGATTAGGCATGATACAGGGATTAACGAACGTGGGATTAGAGATTTGTTGACGACCCGTATGCAGATGGAGCCGAGCTGGATTAACAGACTAAACAAGGTTACAATGTGAGGTAACATGGCAGAGATGATTGCTCCCCTTACTTGTAGTAATATCTTTTGCTAAACCTTACTACTGATCTCATATAACGACCGCTTCATTTTGCACTATTTTAAATCTTTGAAACCTATTTAAAAATACAACGACAGTAGTAACATAATAAACAAATCAGTCATAACTAGTGTACTCCCGACGTATATGATGTTGCCAGAGTTTCCCAGTTAAGTATGGAGTGTAAGATGTACTCACCATATATGAAGCAAAACAAAGTGTAAATGAAGACCTGCACATTTTGAGAACATTTTCTTGTGGTAAAACATTAGCCTTAATAATTGGAAAATACGTTTGTTGATTTTTTCCCCCAATATTCTTTAAAATTCATATGTATTATTTTAGTTACTAATTCCCAAATTGTTAAAAACTTTGGATACACTTGTGTGATTGATTGTTTCCACCGCGTGTTTTGATTGGCTAGTTAGTTACCACAGCCCGTATAACAACGCCGCGCACTCCACTTGCGGTCGTGGCTACTGAAACAATTTGATTGTCTACTCTGGTGAGTTAATTTCTATAGGAAGGCTTGCTAGGCAGGTATAAGCTGTTATGTAATTTCTTTCAAGTTAATGGATGTTAGGGCATTGCAAATGAATTTATTAGCTTTATATATAGGCCAATATATATATATATATATATATATATATATATATATATATATATATATATATATATATATATATATATTGGCCTATTAATTTAGCTGTATTTAAGATATTTGATCTACGAAAATATCATATCCAGTGAATAGTTTCGCATATACAAAGTTTTTTTTTCAGTATGTCTTACTTTTGGAATAGTTTTTTTTTCAATTTAAGCAAGGATGTGAAGTAATAAAAGACACATACATTATAATTGAGTTGATATTGTAAAGGTTTCTTAGTTTCAAGTACAAGTAAACGTCATGAATGCAAAATCAGGTTTCTTTTAGATCTTTGTCTCCTTAGAAAGGAACGAAACTACATACTTCCGATTTTTTCGGGGGAGAGGGGGCTGAACGCGTTTAATTATGCTATAAAATATTTTCAAACAAAATAATGCAGTTCTCTCTGGTTCGATGGGAGAGGGGGGAGTGGCTAAAGTTCTTCGGGGGGGGGGGGGGGTTGCCTGAAAGAAACTCCAAGCCAAATTAACTAATTAAGCAAATCCCGCAATGCTCTGAACTAGCATCAAGCCCTGGCGGAAATGTAAGTTGATCTGATAAAGCCATTCCTGACATGTCCATTCTCACGTGCAGTAACTCTAGCTATTGTAAACAAATTTCACACACAGAGCACATTACAACCAGCATTGGTCAAAGATGGCGTCAACCACATCAAAAATATTCCTGGCGGTTTTGTTGCTGACCTGCGTGTCCCCTGCCCAGGGTGAGTACATTAAAAAATCTTGAACTCACATTGATCAATAAGGAAAAGGGTGAGTACATTTAAAAACTCATTTATAGACTGACTAATATTTTCGATCACAATAATCAAAAAGTCACTAAATAGTGTATAGATATCATGATTACGTTAAAATTATTATTAGACGAATAAACAATACAATGTTTATATATAATAATTACATTCATAACCAACAGGCAGACAAATATATATATATATATATATATATATATATATATATATATATATATATATATATATATATATATATATATATATATATATATATGTATATATATATATATATATAATGATTATTACAACTCATAATTCATAGAGTATATTTTTAATGCAGAAATATGATCATTTTAATGATTACTCATAAAATTTATTTTTGCAGAAAAAATGTGATCGTTAAAAACTTATAAGTCATAAAATATATATTTGCTGAAGAAAAATGATAATTAAAAACGTATAACCCATAAAGTATTTATTTTTTGCAGCCCAGTGTTCAGCTTATGACAAAGTCGATATTATTAACCGCAACGAACCAACTAACAAGGTAATACACAACGACCAAAATTTTGTACCACATACAACCAACAGGGTAATTTACATATCTTAATCGATCAAAATTTTGTACCACGTACAATCAACTAAAAGTGTAATACACACATCTTAATGGACAAAAATTTTGTACCACCTAGAATCAACTAGGAGGGTAATACACATATCTTAATCGACCAAAATGTTGTACAACATACGATAAACTACCAGGGTAATACACATATCTTAATGGACCAAAATTTTGTACCACACACAATCAACTAACATGGTAATTTATTTGTACTGAACGATCGAAATTTATAACCACAATACAATAAACAACATAGTAATAAATATGCCATCAACATTCGGAACTACAATACACCTAACAGGTAATACACATGTTTTCGAAGATGCACGTCACTACTAGTGTCATTTATTTTGTTTTTTTTTAAATCGTATTTTCTTGTAAATTGTATTGCGGAAACACATAGTAAGTTTTACAGAACCATGATAGATGGATCATAGAAGGTTTATCCTTTTAAAATCGATTTGAAATTTGAACAGTTTATTCTCTCAACGTGCACCAAGTCCACATATATGTAACGATATTGGAAGATGTCGTGGAGGAAATGACACACACAAAGGACGCATTGTGGGGAGGTCATTTTGATAAGAATCGTAATTCGTGTAACTCATATTACCCATGCTTATCTACGTCAAGCACATTTAATACTGCTAGCTTTCACACTTTGGCTAGTGAATATTTAGCTAACTTAAAATTACGCCAACTAAACCGTGATCTTTTCGCCAGATAATTAGAATACAGTTACACCTTAATTTTGACCATTAATGTATATGTTTAAGGTTAAATAATTAATTGCTTATTAATATTATTTCCTCTGTTTTTTAACCACAGCATTGCTATTGGAAATGTAAGGAAGAATATAAATGTTTCTTCTATCAATATCATTGGCGCGGTGGTTGTTCCTTGTTTATGTCGTACGGGGATGTGGTCAATCTGGACGAAAATGAATATCACGATAGCACTTTATCCTGTAGAGATAGAAGTAGTACGTACTTTTGGATACTATTATTTAAAAAAAAATAAAATAAACGCGAATCTGTGTGATCACACGTAAACTGAGTACTTTATTAAAAGATTGCTTGCGCTTTTTAAAAAGATTCTTCTTCTTCGTTCTTAGTTTTAAGCGTTGAAAGAGATCGAGCTTGATCAGCAAGAAGGTTCGAACTCGAGAATTTTAACAACTGTGAGCTTTTGCCGACTCGACCACGCCTCCAACACAGCGGCATTGACGTTTGATAAAATAAACAGGGAGTGATCTCCCCTAAACTTTCTCGAATATTCTAATATAAAACAACAGGGGATGGCAACTCGGGATATAGACATGTTTTTTAATCCATTTTTTAAAAAAAACTTTTTAAAATAAAATAAAATCTCGTAGAAAAAAGAATTGCATACTAAGTGAACGCCACAAAAAACGTGCATAATAGTGCAAATTATTAGTACTCTATAAATACACATGCGTTTTTTGAGGAATCGGAAATAGCGTACATTACAAATTACTTTATCCGGTCAACGGAAATTACTCAAAATTTGAAAGAAGGCAGAGAATTAGAACTTTTACTCATTTATCACTTATCTACCTGTAATAATAATTCTTTAATTTCCGTCAGTGTCTGTCACTAGTAACTTAATAATTGATACTAAACCCAAATGCCTTCTCTGTTTCTAGCAATACAATAATATATATATATATATATATATAATGCATGTTTTTTTTTAAATTAAGTCAAATACTCTGATATACGATGTTAATTATAGTATCAAATATTGATATAAAAACAAAAATCACTGAAGTTAATTTGTATGTAGTCATTGTGGGTTGGAGTGGGGACATTTCCCGGAATTAGCTGTTGTATATTCAGAGCGTTTATACTCTTTATCTTAGTGTGAGATAATCTATTCTGAAATTTTTATTCATCACGCACACCCACACAAAAACACACACATAAACCTCCACATACGCACGCACAAGGACATATAATTACATATATATTGGTTATATATATATATATATATATATATATATATATATATATATATATATATATATATATATACATATACATATATATATATATATATATATATATATATATATATATACATGTATATATAAAAACAACAAACACAAAAACACACACATAAACCTCCACATACGCACGCACAAGGACATATAATTACATACATATTCGTTATATATATATATAGGCCCTATATTATATATATATACATCTATATATATATAGGGCCTATATGTATATATATATATATATATATATATATATATAAGTTTATGTTTTATTTATATTACTTTATAAATAGTATGTAGGTTGTATGCTATTAAAAATAGTTCCAAATATTAAATCTTCCTTTAGGCTGTAATACTTATTTAGAAGATTTCAACTTTCCTGTGCAAGCGAACAATCACACGGTAAATCTTTAGCACACTTTTTCAATCGCAATAATAAGTGAAAACATAAAGGGATTTACTTATGAAAAAAATATAATGCACAACAGTTTATATGAAGAAAAGCTTATAAGGTATATAGTTTATCTGTAAACCTAAGACATCTGTAGAAATAAAAGGGCCTGCAAATTAATATTAGATATTTTCAAAGTACAGTTTTACCTCAACGTACGAGATTTTAACAATATTAGAAGTTGAGGGAGGAAGAGACAAACCTCTTTTACCTGTTTTGATTTTAACCGCATGCACGTGAAAATGAGTGAAGTTTTGCGGAAAAGGCAAATTACAATGAAGAAAAAAGTTGTTAAAGAAATAAAGCGTATGTAATAATACATGACGAAGTATCATTTAAGTTCAAGTACGTAAATCACGATGATTTTAGTTTAGTAACACGAGGTCTTGAGATAAGGTGTAGCGCTAAGAATGTAGCGAGTAAATGAATTAAAGTGAAAAAAAGAATTGAACAATAACAGTACACTGCCGAGCGTAAGCGAACAAGGTAAAGCCCCTCCGCGTATCTCGTACCCTCTTCCCGGTAACTTGTGGGTCTGGTACGGCATGTTTTTACTACTTTATTTATTAACTATGTTAAATATGATCAGTAATCCATATAGCCGCAGTGTATACTTTAAGAATTTAAAAAAAAAATGTTTTTTTTTTTGTATTCTGATAGTCGCCTCAGCCAGGGGCGTAGCGAGGGGGGGGCGGGGGGTGCGGACCGCACCGGGTGACACCATTTAGGGGGGTGACAAAATGGCAAAAAATAGCAAAATAAATAGAGAAAAACTCGAGGGGGGGGTGCAAATCGAAAGTTTGAGGGGGGGGGGGGTGCAAATCGAAAACTCAAGGGGGGGTGCAAATCAAAAGTTTGAGGGGGGGGGGGGTGCAAATCGAAAATTTGAAAGTTTGTCCCTGGGAAGGGTCTCTATGCCTCTGGGGGGGTGACACCATTAAGTGCCGCACCGGGTGACACCCGACCTCGCTACGCCACTGGCCTCAGCTAATATAATATGTAAAGTTAAATTCTGTATGTGGCGGACGGACGGACGGGCGGACGGGTCCGTGGTAACACAGGAATAGTGTAAAACTTGATTTGATCGCCATAGTGTAATATTTCTAAGGTGCTCATTATCTAAATTAATTATTTAAAAAATTAATATTGAAGATTTTCTAAAACAAATTTCATTTTCTAAAAAGAATATGAAGACACCGGCGCCAATATCACCTTACATTTATTAAAGAATAAAGATTTTATTTTACAACAATTTCTCAGTTTTCAAAAAATTAAGGCTAAATTTTAAAAACATAAACAACTTTGTTTTTATGCTTAGAATTGTGTATATTATTAAAATTTCAAACTTGAATTAAGAATGTCTATTTGGTAATATTATCTATCTATATACTACTAAAAGTCAAGTTTGTTTACATGTTTGAATATTTATTTTTTTGTTTGTTTTTTTGTTTGGTTGATCGAGTTTTGTGATATGTTGTACTCTATCTGGAGAGCTGTAAAATAGTATGTAGGTAGAGAATAATTTTTTAATTCAGACAGACTGTTAATCACACATTTATTTAAAGACGTTAATTAATTTATTGATTTATTCATACGTATATTAACCACAATTTTTTAAAAAGATTTGAAAAGCCACTAGACTCGACGGAAACAGTGACGTCACATGATGTGTTTATTTTTTTTTATCGATAATGGCGGCCTATCGAAGAAGATTGTGTTCCCATTCCAATGTTTAACACGTTCTAAAGCTAATTTTCTGTCGGCTTTAACTTTAACAATACGTCCGTTTGCTGTATTTATTACGTTCCAACACTTATATCAATTTTAAACTGTCTTTTTTGCATTTAGTTTTATAATAAATTTCTCTAGATCTAAAGATCAGCTGTCGAAGGAAAGTTATGAATCTAGCCTAAATCTAGATCTAGCCTAGATCTAGGTCACTAGACTCAATGTAAATTCTAGATCTAGACTTAATGTAAATTCTACATCTAGAATCTATTTCAGGCCTTAATACATCTAGAATCTATTTCAGGCCTTAATTATTTTATATAAATCTTTGTTTGGCTAATTTAAGATAAAATTTAATTTGAAAGTTACTACTACTAGACTGAGACATATGTTGGGGCGCCAAAATGGTTTGGAAAAATAAATTGAAAGGTTGAGGGGGGTTCAAATCGAAAGTTTGAGTGGGGGGGGGGGTGCACATCAAACGTTTGAGGGGGGGGGGGGTTGCAAATCGAAATCTTGCGGGGGGGGGGGGGTTCAAATCGAAAAGTTTGTCCCCGGGCGCCGGGAAGGGTCGCTATGCCTCTGAGTGACAGACGTGATGTTTTTTGATGGATGACCCCCGAAACCCACAGTTATCCAACGGATGACGGGTATTCTAGTTTATTATCTAAAATTAACATTTTTTCGGGTAAATGGCCCTCGGGCAAATGGCATTCGGGCATTTGTCGCATTCGGGCATGTATTCATTCGGGCATTTGTCGCATTCGGGAAAGTGTCCATTCGGGTATTTGTTCCATTCGGGCAAGTGTCCATTCGGGAAATCGGCCTTCGGGCAAACTGCATTAGGGCAAGTGTCTTTCGGTAGAACGTCCTGATCCAGGTTTTTATATACTAGGATATTTTATGAAACGGCTAACAACACTTTTCTAATGAAGTCTATTCATTTGGAAATAGTTACATAAGCATTTTGTACTTAAGATGTCTTTCTCTGCATATATTTATTCGGAGTTATTTCTAGAATATAAGAGACACATTTTAAAAAAAAAAGTACTAATGCATAATGATATCGCACTCCTTAATGCTTACTGAGAGGTTTGATTTGCTACCTATTTTTAATAAGATGATTTAATTTTTAAAACAACCTTTATAACTTACATCAAATGTGTACTATGTTCACAGATGTCTTAAGTGTCTGTAAAAAAAAAGGCTGAAAATGTAACTAAATAAATATATTTTACTTCATTTCTTCCTTTACTTCTACCTTAAGGAGTGTTTTATGACCTGCCTCCATACGAAGAGATGTTGGAGCTATGTCTACGACCCATCTGATGTTTCTTGTCTGATCCGGACCAAAGGCGGACGTAGCAGTGACATTGATTATACTTATGACCGTAGGTTTTGGTCACACGTCGTTTGTAATTTGTAATTAGTGTTTCTTTTAGAGCAGGGGTCTCCAAACTACGGCCCGCGGGCCGGATGCGGCCCGCGAAGTCCTCTCATCCGGCCCGCGGAGATATTTTTGTCCTAGGAAAAATCGTTTGTTGGTGATGGCTGAGGAACTTTGCCTAGAAAAATCAAAGACATGCCTGGAAGAAACTGGCCCCCGAACTGAAATTTGATAGTTAATGCGGCCCTCGGACTGAAAAGTTTGGAGACTCCTGTTTTAGAGGAGCAATGATTTTATTTTATCTCTATTAAAATATATACCTTTACTGGGTTCTCCACTCAACACCCCCCTCCCACTCACCCGGAATTTTAATTGACACCCATACCGAGAAAAATAACTAGTTGTAAAACTTGTTTATAAAAAAGTTACATTCATCACATTTTTTAAATCAGTAGATTCATAAAATTTACAACAATTTTTAAAACTACATTTTAGATTAGTATCTTGAAATGTTTTCAAATTTTTTCAAGTGTTTTTTTTTTTTATTTTGGCTTGTGTAGTAAAAATATTTAAAAAAATTGTTGGCATATTTTTTATGAATGTAATAAAAGCAACTTTAAATTTGATATATTATAACAAATACACAACGAATATATATGCATGAGTTTGAATATGGATAAGAACAATAATCACACTTATATGGATGTACTACTCTGTTAGGAAAATCTGTGAACAATTAATTTTCCACCAACAATCGCAATTTTTGGGGATTTCATCATGTTTTGGGTCTAGTTGAAATCCTATATAAATGGTTTGATTTTATCATAATCGTGTATTTAATATTTCTTCTGTTTTCCGGTTTATTTTCGTAAATTAGAAACTCACTTTGCAAATATTTCGGTCATTGTTGGGTTAATTTGCAGTCTACTGATTTGAGTTTTACCCCTCTGTATAAACAACTGCTTCCAAAAGATTGCACGCTCTCATTAAAATAAATTACTTTATTTTAATTTCTGTTTGTTGCGCTCGTCTCTTGTAATAGGTTGTGTTACCTTGGTGTAGATGTAAGTGCCTACTCTCTCTCTCTCTCTCTCGTTTTATATATATATATATATATATATATATATATATATATATATATATATATATATATATATATATATATACACACATGTATACATATATACATTTATACTTCCAATTTAACAGGAGCGACTCTATAGCGGATTGATTTTCAAGTACAGTAGTTTCTAAAATAGTATGTGTATTAAAAAAAAACATCAGTACCTATAAATTAACGTAAATACCAATACCAATAACAACAGTAACTCCAACAACCACACCGTTACCGTTATCGTTACCGTAAACCAGGGGTCTACAAACTACGGCCCGCGGAGATATTTTTGTCCACGGAAAAAAACGTTTGTTGGTGATGGCTGAGGAACTTTGCCTAGAATCAAAGACATGCCCGGAAGAAACTGGCCCTCGAACTAAAATTTAATAGTTAATGCGGCCGTCGGATGAAAAGTTTGGAGACCCCTGCCGTAAACGATGGTAATTGTCAAGCAGCTGGTAATGTCCTGCTGCAGTTTTTGGATCGGGGTTAGTGCTGGGAAGTCGGGTAATTGACATGATGTAATTGACCAGTGGCTAAAGGCGTTTGTGAAATAAAAAGTGCGCCAAATCAAGATAATCTGTTTGGTTTATAGGATCGCTGGGACTTGATCGTATATTTGAGATGTCACTCACATGAGCTATTTAGGACATGTGTTGAGATGTTTAACGCTGAGATAGGCGCCCACCCGGACAGATTTACAGAACAACAGAAGACGTGACAATTGGGAAGACTAGTTTTGTTAAGGCAACGAGCCTACACTATGTAACGTTGGCTACAACAAGATGGTGTCTCCTTCTTCTGTAGATTCCTACAAAAAAATAAAGCCCAGTAATAATATTTATATACATATTAAAATATGCCACGCAAGATAAAACATAATATCAAGTTATTTTAATATAAAAAATAAACCTACATAAGCTCTTTAAATTATAAATTGTTTTTGGCATCGTACATATGATTTGTAGATACATATATTAAAATTAAACATCTAAAATGTCATTAAGGAACTATTTTTACAGTATACAGCTTGCTAAGATCATAAAAAATATTTTCAAACAATTCGAATTGAATATTCTAGTTTCGTGTTCTAAAAATACAAGTTGGTGGGGGGGGGGGGGTGAAATAAGCATGTCTTACATACTGTAAACCTATTAACTAAATGGTTTTCATCCTAAGTGGTGAACAGCTAGTGCAATAAGCTTCCACTGTCCTAGCTTTTACTGAAAACTCAAAAAGTTATGTACTTTCTTATTTGCTTATGGTGACATTTTAGTGGTCACAGCTTACAACAAAACTCAAAACCTAAATTCCTTTCCTTGTACAATGTTAGACTGAACATAATCAGTGGGCGTGTCCTCATGAAAACTCTGACGATTCATGAAAATATATGAAACTTCCAGCTCCTCTTCCAATGTATCTACCCCAGCCCAGCTTCCACTACTGCTCTCACGCCTGCTCTTACGGCTTTCCTTCTTACTTTTTGATGATGCTCGTGTTTCATAGAAACTACGAAACCTGAAGTTGTAGTTGGTAGTTGGAGTTGTAACAAGGTTAGACTTGCTGGTCAGGATCTAACAAATTCACACAATCATATCATTATGTGTTTTTTTCACAATATTAGCTTGTTGGTTAGGATCTGATCACTTCACGCAATTATATTATTAGATGTGCAAACATAGGGGAAAAAATGAAAATGTAATTTTGTTTTCTACATACAAAGTAATCACAAAAAAGCATACTTACTAATTGAGTTGGAGTAATTAGAATTACTCTGCGATTGTGAATTGCTTTGAGATTGCGTTTCTATAACCTTTCTTGGCTATAAGATCATTAAATTTTAGATATTAATTTAAATCCGAAAATCATGAAATAAAGTAGTGGCTCACTCTTTTTTACATGTTTAGAAAAAAAATCCATTTTAAACACAAATATTTAAACCTCTAATATCTTAAGAAACGTTTACTTTTACATTGCGATACCCGTGACTTTGTAACACATGTAAAATAAAACGGTAAAAAAAGAAAAGTAAAATAATACAATGTTAAATTCAAATGTAACTTGAAAATAGTATTTTAATTAAGCCAGGAGATGTATAATAAATGCTACCTTCGTGTTCCTACATTTAGTTAAACAGTCAAAACAAAGTTTGTGTTTCAGAATTTTGAGACCTTCTCTCACCTATTGGGGAGATTAAAATAAAAGTAAATTGTTTGAAATTAGATGTCAACGCAACCACGCTTACTGATGATCAAATAGTAATTAAATAAATGAATGTGCAAAGAATAAGCATTTTAGTTAATTGCCCAAATGTTTGCATATTGTTTCTAATAAAAAAATTATTTCACAGTAAAAAATACAAAATAATTGTGTTTAAATTTACCTGCTTGAGAAGGAGACATTGAAAGATAAAGATAAACAAACCCTGAAATATATTGGGAACATTACAACAATGCAAATGTTGGTTTTGTAGTTTAATAGATATATTGTGTGAGAAATACTTTATAAAATTGTTATAATGAAATTCAAAGGACATATTAAAATCATATACTATCCAAAAGAAAAAAAAAACAGTTGGCAAAAGATTCCCATACTCTCAGATTTAACAAAAGGCAAACATACTTACGAAGAAATATAAATAGTAGCAATCACACCCTGTATATAACAGTTTCACACTTACATTTAAGAAAACCAACCTGCAGTGAATTGGAGATGGCGAATAAATATTCAAAGACGATGGTTTCATTGTTAACAGACAGAACACCAAACACCCAGGTCATGCCGAATATAGGGGAGAGAACACACAAAGACCTTAGCACGGACCTGAATGGATAAGCAATGAATTAAGTAATGAATTAAGTAATGACAAATTAAGTAAAAAATGTATGTGTATAAATTTACATTTTCTTACCACAGGTTTAATCTTTCCTCGTCTAATTTGTGGTTTAATCGTCATTTGAAATTTGACTTAATTATAACGGTGTGATCTCGTGTATATCGACAAAAATGTGTGGTAACTAAGTTGATGTGTTAAGCACTTACTTTGCTTTAAGCAGGGCCGATTTATCCCTCATGACGTGAGTTGACTGTATTGCTCTAATCACCACCAACAGTATCACTAAATTCACCTGCAACAAAGCATTGAAATTTTTGTTATATGGCGTACACACTAAGGGGAACAGCAAGTGTTAGTTATACATCTAAAACACATTACAATCAAGTCTTGTCCGATAAAAATCAAGCGTATTCTATGGTTTAAAATTTTCCTTTTTGTCGGATTGAAAAATCCTAATATATGATTACATTTTCTAATGTGTAGCAATATATATATATATATATATATATATATATATATATATATATATATATATATATATATATATATATATATATATATATATATATATATATATATATATATATATATACAATTAAAAAGTTACTTACTCCAATAACAAAGAGCACTGGTCCTAAAAATGCCCAGATAAGACCGTTATCTACCATCAACCAACAGCTTTGTAATTGAATAAAAAAACAAATTAGGTGTAGAAACTATATAAGAAATTTAGAAGTATTAAAACCAGTTACAAATTTTTAATATTTTTGACGCTTGCAGGTCTTTAGATTTTGAATAGAATTAATATACCCAATGTACAAAATGAATTTTGTTTCTCTTGAACCGTTTGCCAAAGTTCCTAATAGCTATATACATATTCATATATATATATTATATATATATATATATTTTATATATATATATATATATATATATATATATATATATATATATATATATATATATATATAAATATATATATATATATATATATATATATATATATATATATATATATATATATATATATATATATATATATATATATATATATATATATAGGCTGTTGACTTAGATACAATAACACAAAATTACTTTTCACTGTTACCATATCCGTGTGTTCGTGTAACACCCATGGATACACCAACGATGATCAGAGGCACGCCTAAATAAAAGTTAACACAGGATTAGATGTTTCTTACATCGTTTTATAGACATTATAATAGTTTATTGGATGATAAACACCAAATGTATGTGAACATCTGAGTGTAGATTAGTCGAAATGTATTGCTTTATTTAAAAATTACAATTTTTATGAAGACATTGTTTAAAAGAGAAACTTACCGTAAGCAAGAAGTATTAAAAGAGCTATCATTATCCTTGATCTAGATCTGATACTAAAAACAGCTGCTACTGAGGTGAATACAAGGATTCCCTCCCCTAGCATGGAGAAGAAGACTGATAGGAAAAAGAAATGTAGAAGTGCCGCCACTACTGTACAGGCTACCTGTAGATGGATACAACAAGTCTCTATTTATGTTGTGTTTAATTGTCAAAATAACTGGGGACTGTGATGAATGGGTAGGGAACATCTAAAGCAAAAGTTGACAATTTTTTTTCAGGCCGTGACCCTTTTTCCCCACGTTTTCTTTAACTTGCTTTCGCGTCCGTTTGTTTGTTTGTTTGTCTTTCCATCAAATCTTGCGATCGAAATTTCTGGCACTTCCCAGTTAGCTAGCGCGCCGAAATTTTCAGGGAAGCTTCATTTCCGATGACAATACAATATTCAATTATTACTATTACTAAATTGATCCATGGAAAAAAATTTTTGATCATTTTAGACTCCTATTGATTTGTACAAAAAAGGGACAAGACCTAGTAATTGTAATTTGATAAAAAACAAGGTTTGGGTACTTTCCCTCTTCTGGCTTACTGAAAAACAAATGAAAAATCATGAAGGAGCGAGCACGCGATTGGCTGAGTAGTGGTCACGCGGTGTTTGTGTACAAACCTATGCAAATCTGACT